CTGCCACGGCCACGGCCCACTCCACGGCCAAGTCCACGGCCACGCCTCACGCTCACAGTCTCACCGCTCACTCTCACGCTCACACCCACACCCACACCCACACCCACACCCCCACCCACACCCACACCCACACCCACACCCACACCCACACCCCCACCCACACCCACACCCACACCCACACCCACACCCACACCCACACCCACACCCACACCCACACCCACACCCACACCCACACCCACACCCACACCCACACCCACACCCACACCCACCCCCACACCCACCCCCACACCCACACCCACACCCACACCCACACCCACACCCACACCCACACCCACACCCACACCCACACCCACACCCACACCCCACACCCACACCCACACCCACACCCACACCCACACCCACACCCCCACCCACACCCACACCCACACCCACACCCACACCCACACCCACACCCACACCCACACCCACACCCACACCCACACCCACACCCACACCCACACCCACACCCACACCCACACCCACACCCACCCACACCCACACCCACACCACACCCACCCACACCCACACCCACACCCACACCCACACCCCCACACACCCCACACCCCCACACACCCCACACCCCCACACCCCCACACACCCACACACCCACACACCCACACACCCACACACCCACACACACACACACACGCACGCGCACATGCACATGCACAAACCCACACACACCCACACACACACACACACACGCACGCGCACATGCACATGCACATGCACATGCACATGCACACGCACATGCACATAAACATACATACACATATACATCTAATTACATATACACATACAAACTTCTTTATACCTGTTTTTATGTGTTAAAAAATTATACATATATATGTATGTATGTATGTATGTATGTATGTATGTATATGATATGTCACGCCCAAATGACGGCTCTGTCCTGCGCACCTTTACACCAGATCGTGGCTTGGCCTTCAGAGGGCTCTACCTGATGCTAGCTTGGAAGCGGCACGCCACCCCAGTCGGAACTGGCATCAGCGCCTTCACGAAGGGCTCTTTGATGTGTTCACCGACGTGCTTGCGGATCACCTCCTGTATATCCATGAACCAAGACATAGGTGTCGAGGAAGTGTACCTACCAAGCATCAAAACTCAAGCCTCATGGCTGCACTGGCTGCTGCATCTGCTGCTTGCTAACCAGGATGCTCCCAAAGGTTTCCGATTTCAACGCAAGGAAATTTCTTTGCACGATCCTGGCCAAATCGACGTATCGAGACTACATGAGATTGTCAAGTTGTCTAGAGAGAGTCCGCTGCAACACAGTTCACGTGAAGTACCAAGCGAGCTCAAAGTCTCGCGAGGTCTCAAGGTGACCACGTCCTGCCTTGACATTGAAACCCTCCTTCTGCCAAACCGCTGCCTGCAGCAATGGTGTACACCGAGATCTGAGAAACTGCATACAATCTGGAACGGAGTGGCACAGAACACAGAAAGTTCATCGAAACTGAGAACAGAAAACACACGAGCTCATGGGCTGTCGGCCGTGAAAACGGGGCGACAGAGAGCCAAGGTCCTATTGGCTCCTGCGCCGCAGAAACGTCTGCTCGACTGCTGATATTCTGCCTGTTGGACTTTGCCGAAAGTTGACACTTCCTTCCGAACCCGCAAATGCATGCACGAGACGAACTAAACAATCTTGATAGTGGCTTCTTCTCATGTGTTGTGTCTTGAGCGGAGCAACTCACTGAAACCTGCATGCGTCGCTCTACATCATCCGTAGCCTTGGGCCTTGGGATCCTCGCAATAAACTAAATAAACACAAGGCGAAACACCGCTGGATTCATGGCTGTATGCAAAGCCCTGCCTCGCACCGTATCCGCCAGTTCCGATGCCCAAGACTGAGAGACAAACATCTTTGTTGTAGAAGTTCATGGTGCTGTACAGTCTGAGACCGGGAGCGGCGCACTCGGACTCTTCCGTCCATGTCTCTGCAAGCCTGCACAGACATCACCATGGGTTCGGCTCGATTGCTGCATCAACTACACTGGCCACAGCAAAGAGGGCCTCGTAGACAGGATCCTCAAGGACACTTTATTTTGCAGAGACATCCTAGTCGACTAGAGTCTAGGTGGAATGTCGAGGTGTTTGAAACAACTCGCAGGCGTTGCTGCATGCAGCACGGATGGTCCACGGCATGCCCACTGCTTTCCACAATCTAAATTCAGCAACTTGACATGCAAGCTAGGTTTGTCTTGTGTTGCTTTGGGCCCTCTCGCACCCACTGCGGGAATGTTTGTCGTACGCTCACACGCTGGTCTTGGACACCTTCCAACAACCCGTTTCAGTAGCATGATTCAATGATAGCAGAGAAATTCATCGGCTAAGCATGCCACTTACCAAAAACTTGACTTTGTGCAACTGTGTCCTCCGCATCATAGATAAGTTCCGCAAAACTGTAACCCCGGCGATGTATTTTGTGCCGATTCTGCGGATCCATGCAAACTACAGAAATAGCCTTTGAAATAGCTATGTGCATCTTCGTCGATGGCCTTGGCTAAGAAGCCTAACTGCCTGCACTCATCTGCTATCACATGACATCGCCTTGTCGGAGACTTGAGTACAAGTGCGAACACCACCCATCCCCACGCACAACTCTGGCTTCTGCTCAGGTGCCCTGTGCGAGTGGCACTGGCACTGGCATCTGAAGACAAAGGCAAGTTTACTCGGCCCAAGTTCCGGACCCCTGCATCATGTGTGCCAGTAAATTTGCTCGTGTGGTATACCACGAGCGCTTCCCCTTTGAAGTTCTGCGTCTCGAGGATGCCCTGATGCGGGGAATACGGCCAAACAAATCAGATTCACGGAAAGACATGATTCGAGAAAATGGCACCGGGAGCGGGAGCACATAGGAGAGCCACGAGAAACGAACTCTGTAGAAGCTGGAGCCGTGCCGGAACTCTGCGGCACATTCAGCTGTGAATTCCCGTTGCGGACTGCGCCACAAAAGCGCCTAAGGCCCAGCCGGCCTACGGTTCGTCGAGCAGTCGCTGCAAGTCACAAGATCTCATAGCTGAAAGTGCGAAGTCATAGACTGTTTCTAAAGTTTCTTTGTTGGATTTTTAATGTGGCTCACACTAACAGCGCCGGAACCGACAGCCTCTCTAAGCTGTGGGGTCCTCCCGCTCAAGGTCTTGGCTTAACACGGGATGCCTCTTCCATGTATAACTCGATCTTCTTGATCTTTCCATACCTGTCGACAGTGTGCAACAAGCAAGACCGCTTTGATGGCCCCGTTAGGTCGCTCAGGCCCGTTCTGTCCAAACAGCTGCCCAAGCGCAAAGTGCAAGGCCTCGTCACCTGTGGAGACAGATCTGAGGTGCAGTAGCCAAACCACCTCTCACAACAAGTCTACCTTCACTCAGGCGTCGACCACCCTGGAAGTTCTTCGGCAACTCATTGACGAACACAGCAGAAGAGGAAGTGTCGCCTCCGGGCCCGGGCACTAGAAACACATGCTGCTGCATGTCTTCAGATGTCTTCAGGGCTGTAGTACGGGGATAGGGAAACACCTTGAGAGCGCACTGCGCTTGGGTTTGCAGGAGTTGTGCCGGCGTCTTAGTGATGTGTCCACTCTCTCTCATTGATGTTCCCGGCACCAAGCGAACATGCTGTGCTTTCAGGAGGCCCGAGTCTACAGAGCTTCCACTGCCGGCAACTGCAAGAGAGGTGGAAGGGTGGAAGGACTTGGCCGGTGAACGCTGTTAGGCCATCCATAGACACTTGATGCCAGATCTGCTCGTAGTTATTGCTATCATCGGCTACAACTTCACGATAACCCAGCAGCACAAAATGCATCAGCTGCTCCGATGGTGCTCGCATCCAGCAGCCTTGAAAGTCGCTCTACCTCAAGATGTGTTTTTGAAGGATTACCGACCTTGCTTTCCTGCAGGCTGCAGCCTTCAGTTGCTATGCCTCGCAGGTGCCAACAAGCACAAAGATTGAGGTCAAACGACCTCCGCAGCCACGAAGATGACAAGACAGCTTAGAAAGTAAATTGTTCCCAAAACGGACTGAAACTCTCGAACAATCGCTTCTTTGAGCATGAAAGCATGAACTGAGCAGGCACCTGGAAACCGCAATATATCGCAAGCAAGACAAATCAGGGGCGACGGCTTGGCTGGCGGCTTTCTTCTGCACGCATCTCTTGAAAAAACTGCCTATGGCCTATGGGTCGTCCAATGGCACTGGCATCAACAAGTATCCCACCACCTCGGTCAGACGTGCAGACAACAATCTCATCAAGAGAACACCTGAGAAGCTCACCCGGATTGGAAGGGTCAACCAGAGCCATAGCCGGGAGGCCACGGTGGCTACAGTTTCATCGCAGGATACAGTCAAGCAGCAACAAACTTCCAGCATGCTACAAAGCCCAGGTGTTTTGACCAAGGTTTGACGGTTCTCTTGAATGTCGCTACTCGCTTGTTGGAGTTCGAGGGGGATTGTCAGCATGGGACATGACTCTTTTCGGCTTGTATTTGTGCTGAATTTGCTGCCCTCTCTCTACCTACCCCTCCTTCCTACCGACATTCCCATCTACAGGTATCCATCTGCCTATCTGCCATATCTTCAGTCTGATCTCTGTGCGGAGTACAGCTGCGAATCATTCCTGCAAAGGTGAAACTGCTGAGAGGAATCGCTAGATGGGAAGCGAGGATGAATGTCCCCTAGATGGCCACAAGGCTCTGCGATCTGTAGATGCTCGATAAGGCAGCAGTTGACTGAACAGCTTTGCCAAGGAGTCGCTCAACCACGGCTGTCTCCTGAGTGTGAAACACTAGTACCCAAGGTGCCAGGCTTCAAAAGACTGTACAACTGGAACTCGAACTGCATCACAGCTTGTCGCAGCTCTTGCATGCCCTTCAAATTGGAGCAAGCTAAGATGGTAGGCTTCAACGAATGCACAACCCTGGTTGGGGCTCCATCCACCCTCACTTGCGACGTGTGTCCACCAACACCTGAGGTTGACAAGGAGCATTGGTCGCTCCACACATACACACACACACACACACACATATATATATATGGTCAGGCGTCTGGCGTTCCCAGCCCCCCCCCCCCCCCCCCCCAATGGTATGGTCTGCTAGGGGGGGGGGGGGGGGCTGGCGTGTGCGGACAGGGGTCGGAGCCGTTGGAGCTGTCACTGGATGGTGGGATGGTGCTGGCGGCCAGGGCTCACACGCAAGCCCTTCGCAAGCAAGCCGTAAACCCTATAACGCAGCGCGTGCCCTTGTTTTGAGTAACCTTAAGTTGTACTTCCAACCCTACACCCAACCCTAAACCCCACCTAACTGCAGGCTCTAAGCCTAAAGCAGAACATACACCGCAAGTCCTCCCTAAGCCCTTGTCGACTCGAAGCGTTATACCTTGTAACCGTAAACCCAACACTCAAAAGCTTAAGCTAAACCCTAAACCCCAAAACCCCACAACCACCCCACAGGCGGAAGAGGGACCCCACACCCCACACCACAAAGGAGGGGGGGTCCCACCCTATATCCGGACCATTGACCTTTGGGGGGGGAGGGGGGGGGGGGCCGCGGAGCGCGTGACCATATATATAATGTGTCTGTACATACGTCCTGAATTCAGTCAGGAGCGCCATGTACTTGCTCTTCTCAAGCTGCGAGATGTGCGAGATGCTGAAACTTTGTGGGTTGAATTGCACCACCTGACAGGACTCGCAGAAGGCTGCACATGTTGCACACAGGCCAGGTTGACGTAGACCTGGAGCGTTTCCTGTGCTGAACAGCTACCTCTGTGATCCTCTGTGAGCTTCTTCATGAAGGACTATTCTAATTTCTAATATCATATGTTTTCTATGTATACACATGAGCAAGCCTCTCGTATCTTTCATGCTTGAGCTTTGTGTTTCAAGCACGTCAACGGCTACGGAGAAGGATGGAAAAACTGCTTAAGAGTCGTCATTCTATGCATGGGCACTTTGGGGTTTCTTTCCATCCTTCTCAGCTGCTTGCTTCAGCATGCTTCAGCTTAGCAATACATGCGATAAAAAACAACATGACAGTTTTTGCATGCAAGATGACCCGTCGTCCGGTCGATTTTCCTCGGAACTTGGAGGCCCGAGCTGCTTTCAGTCCATTTGGAAAGGAAAGTCTAAGCATGAGCGGACAAAAACCGAGCAGGGCGTTCAAAACACTTCGGCAACAGCCACGGCGACTTCTTACTCCATGAGCGATCACGAATAGCACAACGATGCAACAATTCTGAGCCGCTAGATCTACCGTGTACCTTAAACTTCTGTATCTGCGAAAGTCATGTATGATGGGGTTGCTGCTGTACTTCATCGATCTTTTTGTTCTGCACATGGTTTATTGACACCTGGTTGCTCACAACTGAAAGAACGATGACACGGCGCTTGAAGTACCATTGTGTTGATGACAATCATTCCTTCCAGCTGCTTTGCATCTTGCTACCTAGACTTCAATACGGCAAACATCATGCACGTTGCTTCAACGGGTCTGCTTGGAGACTTGGATCCGCCTTGATGCCGATGCTACAGGATGTCGCGCCCGCCGCGTTGGTAAGCACCTCGGCGCTTGAACGATTTGTGCGAACTTCCTGGGGGTTGTCCTGGCTTTCATCAGGCACCGGTGATCTGGAAATCTACCCTCAAGGCATCTTCACATGCAAATTTCGCCCGTGGCTCACGACCCAAGCCCAGTCCTCCCATCGCGGATGTCATGCAGCTCCACGAAAAAAAGCAACCCATGCCAAGTCAGTTGCATCATTCACGCAGAAGGCGGACGCGGAATATCCATTGAAGCCCAACCGGTCCCGGGTGAGCAAGGCAACGATGCCCTCTCGGCGAAACAGGTATCAGATGGTACCAGGTAAGTGCTCGACCACGACTGTAGCTAAACAAAAATTCAAAAGATGTACGCTGATGCGCAACTGAGCCATGCACGCACAACCGGTGACACAAAGTCTGGTCGGTTCGGTGAGACCCATGGTGCTACTTAGGGGTGCACGTCCGCGCATGCCCTCATGTCATGAACATATGTCATGTGACTATTTCGCACTTGACTGCACTGGAACATATAACCACATGTACTTGTCAATGCATGAACATTTGCTCACTCGACGACCTACTCGGTGGACCTGAGCCGGTAAAGCGTAGCTTTGGGAAGCCGAGCAAATCGAGCAATTACAAGCACACCAGCTTGTACGCTGACACCCTGGTCGAGCAACAACGTCTGCAGGTACGCTTCGCCGGTACGTTTTCCCGGCCGAGTCAAATGCCACTTGAACACTTGAACGACCGCGTCGCCCCTCGCACAACGAGGAAACACGAAGAACATCGAAACAACCATAGTCTCGCTTGGGCTCCTCCTTCTGGCGGCTGCACATGCCGCGTCGAAGGCCCGGAGTCTTTGGACAGAAGTAGAGGGACGTAACAAATGTGAGCTGCGTTCGCAGGATCAAGGCCCCCTCGTCGATGCTCTCCATCTTCAAGTCGTCCGTGCAGAACTTGGTGAAGGACTCCGGCAGGCGCGCATCGGCCATGTATCGGAGCAGTGCTTCAAGCTTTCGCTTTCCCATGACTACGCACGGATATAAGCAGGCCTGGCCACAGAACTGCTGAAGGTAGCAGCACTAAAGTGTGGTAGCGCAAGGTGGCACCCTGTCGGTTGGGTCACTGGGCCCCTCGATGGGCAGCTCCAGCAACGAGCACGCATGCGCGCGCAGTTCGGCGAACGATGCAAGCGCCGTCCAGCGGTGCATCATGGCTCGTTGTGCCCCGGCCGCACACCACGGCGCTCTTTGACGGGCCCGCGCCTTTGCGAGCAGTCGCAGGAAGGTGAGTGTGGTCCCGCTGATGCGTCCTCCGACGTCGATGCCGAAGACGACCAGCCGGCAGCGCCGGCTTGCCTCAGTTCTGGGTATGTCCGATGTTTGCGGTCGACTGCCTGTGCCAGAGCGAGGCCCGGTTGTTGGTCAGCTCACGACGGTTGCGTCCACGGCGACCTGAGCGATAGGGGGAGGCGTTGGCGACCACCTCTATGCGGCGTCCCTCGCTCGCGGGTACGTCGAGGTTGAGGTCGCGGAGGGCGACATGCGATGCGACACGGGCACCGGCCTCTAGCGAGCGAGCAGCGAAGCACAGGGCCCTTGCAAGTTCCAACTGAGAAATTTTGCCCCGCTCCCCTCGGCGAGGGGCTTTTCGTATCACCGCGTCTCCGCAAGGCTAGCAGAGACGGTTTCATCCTCCTGAGGCCCTCCGTGGCATCGGAAGCACGTGTGATGAGTATGCAAAGTTGGCATGAAACTTAGACCGACCCTAATCGGATCGCATCGGTCTGCACAGGCCACATCAGAAGGGCAAACAACCTTCCTCCACGGGGGGATCTCGAAGAGGCCCTGGTAGGTATGGTGGATGGCTGGCTGGCGTGCGCCGTGTGTGAAAACGGCCTCCCGAAGCACGTCCACCCACAGAGGCGGGAGGCACTGCACTGCACCCGGCCTTGGACCGCTCTGCGAACGCCCCATGTTCCACGGACAATGCCGAGGAGGACAAGCAAAGCTACAGACAATGGGGTGATTTGCAGGACACGCGACATCTGGCACTATGCATGACTTCACTCCCACTTGCGCTTCAGTCTAAGAGAGCCAGCGGCTCTCGCCAAGCGCTTGCAGTCGATAAGCAGAATGAACAGGTATGGCTCTTGACATCGCGTGTAGGAGGTGGCAAGAACCCGTTGCAGGGTGCTTGCACCAAGCCGGTGGTAAGTCACAGTCACTATCGCTGCCCGACTCAGCGTCAGCTCAGACTTGGAAGGCTACAATCTACAACTCCCACAACTCACTCCAACAAAGGCGGCCCGTCCATCGGTCCACAATCTCCAACTTGATGGACGCAGACATGAACACCTTATCATTGGCAGATCGATGCGCCATGGTGTGCTGTGCAGGCGGAGGTGCCCTCTCGTTGGCCAATTACCAACAGCCAGCTTCTCCGCCTCTGGGAGGCGCATGCTGTCTGCTGCCGTGGTCAAGAATCGTCTAAGACTGTAAGATGTGAAAGCCTGCACCTGCACTCGGTCTATACCCCGACTCAGCAGCATGGACCGGAGGAGCTCAGTAAAGCGTGGAAGTTCCATCGGCCGCAACTGCCTTTTCGATGCTGAAGTCAACGGGTCACCCTTAGCAGCCTGATAATCCTGCACCACAAAGCGAGGCGGAGCTCCCAAGGCTCGCTCAAGCTCAGACATGTCCACCAGGGTCTGACATGTGCAAGTCCAAGTCACAGGGGGGGGTGGCTGGGCAGGCCCGGTCAACAGGAGGCTGTGAGCCATGCACCTTGCGCCTTCCCCGACGGCACGTAGCACGGAGGAAATTACGCAACACGAAAGGACTCGGATCGCTGCAGATGTTTGCATCTAAGGCATCCATCCCGCTAAGGCCGTACGTGCATGGCACATGAAGGCCTTGCCGACGTAGCTGCCTTGTAAAACGCCAGCACAACACGAACGGGCACATACGGGCATCGGCTTTTTCTGTTTGGCACATTTCCTCGGAGTAGGGTTCACGAAATGACTGACCAGAACACCCGACACTGGCGGGGAGTACCTACATGATGACGCCGCCGCTGCAAGCCATGGAAGCAGCCTGAAGCAGCTGTAGGCCCGTTGCCACTGACTGGCTGCAAGAACGAAACCTGAATGGCTGAGGGCCTCCAAAACACCTGCCGTGCTTCTGGCGCCACAGCATCCACCGTCTGAGGCAGGAGCGCGTGGCAGCAAAACGCTCGTCAATGTGTGACTGAAGCTCGCGCTCAAACAAAGGCTCGGCAGCTTCAGGATCAACTTTTAACGCGAAAACCCGAACGCAGTATTGTCCGCCCCGCATTGAAAAACTGCTCAAACATGGCATCATGGATGTGCTAACGCTTGCAGACGTAGGCCCGAAGGAGTCGATGGCTTAGCACCGCCAAGTACTTCAGCCTTGTAATTACGGGGCTTGAAATCTGCAGGGGCAAGCAGTCGAGCTTTTGGCCGCTGCCAGCTGTGCAGGTGGTAACGAAAGGCTCCGCTTGGAATGAGCAGAACGAGGCTGATTGAAGGCACGTGTCTCCCGTATATACATGCATCTGTGTCTTTGCGAGCTGCCATGCACAAGTACGCGAGGCAATGATTGCATCGTCGGTGCTGAAATCCAAAAGCCCGCGAGGCTCTGCTACCAAGTAAGCAAAATCCTCCAAGGTATTACCACCAACCCTCTGAAGGCATTGCTTAGCCCCAGCTGACAGAGCAACCAGAACCACAGCAGGCAATCGGCACGAGGCTCGAGGAGTCCTCCATGCCTGGCCTGCCTAATGAAAGACACGACATGTTTATAAGAGCAATCACACCCTACCCAATCAACCATGTAGCTTCATCAAAGTAACAACGATCAGAAGCATGCGACAAATACGAAAAACGACTAGAAAGACCGAATACAAGAAATGCAACGAGAAAATCACTGAACTGGCACTGCCCATCACCTTACAAAAAAGGCCGGACAGAACATCTGAGGGGTGCCTGGGGGATGGCATGGGTGGGGTGGGTGGGGTGGGTGGGCTGGGTTGGCTGTGGGTGCGGGCGTGGGATATCGTTTCTCTTGCACTACTGGAGGTCGTTGGAGATATTCGGCTTGTGCGCAGCATGGGTGTGGGACGTGCGGTGGGCCGTGTGGGTCTGGACCGCGTAGATGCGTGTTTGCAAGTACAGTGTGCCTGTTGGCCTGTTGTCTCGAAGGCTTCCGGGTTGTCCGCGTGCCTGTTGAAAGCAACAACTGGCAGTTCGCGCAGATGGGGGATGTCGCACCAAGAAGTGCCGACTGTGCAAGCCTGAGTCGATCCATGAGAATTCCAGACTGTGCCAGGTGGCACATGTCCAATGTGGAAAGGGCGGAAAGGCAATAAATCATCTGATAATACTGCAAGCGGAAAGCAGCTTTGTGTGGCACCACGGTGAACTGTTGGTATGGTCCTGCGGGGTCCTGCCGTGCCAAGACCATCCACACTCAGCAGTGTCAAACCCTCGCAACCGAAAACAGAGAGTGCCACCATGCCAGCAGGTGGGCTCGCCGGCGTACCCCAAATGGTGCCTGTCGAAGGGTCCTGTCCGAATCGGAGGAGCTCTGGTTCCAGGATTTGGTGAGTGGGATCAAAGCAGAATAACAATGTCGGCATTTGACACATCATTAGTCACTAGTCACACTGAGGCTCTACAGGATTTGGCATGTGCTTGGTCTTTTCACTGAGCTGAGGACCAGTTGTAAGCCGAGAGGTAACTCGGCCTCGACCACAGCTGCTGTAGCCAAGTGACTAATGCATCGATGGAAATGTCAGTTGCTGTCCGAATTCACTAAGCTGACTGCCTGGTCGCTCTTCCGTATTATTATTCTGCGGGCTGGGGTGGCCGTGCTGTCATGCAGAAGAATGGTTTGCTCCTGGATACTCGTGATGGCTTTGATTGAGATGCCCTGCTATGAAACCAGAACAGGATGCACGGCTTTGGTGTGAGCGTAGACGTGCGGCTCCCCTTTGGTATTCTAGTGGCCGCTTGGCGCCGCCCCCGATGCACACGTCCAACCTCACTTCAGCCATGTCACCCCTGCGTTCAATGTGCCGTGTGCCACACCCTGCTTCGAATCAAAGAATGACTCGCACCGCTGTATCGCAGCCTGATCATGCGAGGCACAATGCATCGCCCGAAAAATGTTGTCAACCCCTTCAACTGGCTCGAAATGATTGTCAACGCTCGCCGCTAGCTCGAAATGTTTGTTGGTAAATGCCAGCTGTCTTGTTATCAATGCATGCAGCTAGCTTGTGGTGACGTTGTTGCATATAACATGCATAGAGATTGCCAGTTCATGCAATGATTCAGTTTGCCAGACTCAACACGCTCAGCTGTACACACACACGTCGCACACCAAGTTGCACTTCTATTGCGAAAGGTGGGATGCAGCTGTGAATTCCCAAAACGATCTACAACGCTAGGGGGCCCAAGGGCATCGACAGTCCCAAGGTGCATTGCGTGCCCAATCCATCGTTGGTGTCACCCATGCTACAAGCCTGCACTCCAGCATGCGTTCACAACGGCAAAACAGCGGCGTGTACCTGCAACCATCTGCAATCCCCCCACCTGCAGTGGGTTTAGTCATCCTGGCGCGCACCCTGGGCATGCGGCGGTGTCCGTGCGATGCACACCCGGCAGGGGAGGGATGCCACTTGTTGGCTGTTTGTTTGGGTCACAGAGGGCACGGGAGTATAAGTACTCCACAGCTGGTTCTTGTGCCAGCAAGAATCGCAGCTCGCTGTACGGTGACACTCATGGCAGAATGAACACCCTTTTCTACAGCCTAGTTGTCTCCCACATATCATATCAAAGGAGTTCAGGCCCGACGCTCAGCTGTATCCAAAACACGTACTGTGACATGACGAGTCTGAAGTCTTGTGACGGCCCTGGCACGAGGAAACGGGCAAGCATCACACTCACATTATCCTGGTCTGGTCATGCCCCGGACTCTGCCCCTCGCATCACTTTGTGGCTACACCCCCGACATAAATTGCAGTCCCAAGATGAGCTCTCGCGTTTCACAGGTCCGTGCGAAGGGTCCGTGACCCAAACCAACAGCTTTCAATGCCAGTGCCAAACAGTGACTGGCCGCGAGCTCTCTCACCAAAAGGACAGACAAGCATACAAAGAAAAACAAAAAAAACACATATAGAGAGCAGAGACCCAGACAGAAGCGACAAACATGGAGAACGAGAGCGGGCAGGCAGGCAAGCAGACATGTTTGCAATGTATGTGTCGCATCTGAAGTGAATGTATTTTCCTACATCGTCCCCCTTCCCCCCCCGCACCCCACCCTCGCAGGGCCAAGCCAGGCCTCTCATCCGAGCAAGCATCGATGGTGGTTGTCTGATCTTATCTGCATCATCGCTGGTAATTGTCGACGCTTTTTTGGCGCTCTCGTGCACCCCTCCCCCAGAGGAGAATGATAGCGATGGTGCTATGGACAAACGTGCTTCTTGCATGCTGGTATTCCGAATGTGACTGTTGGTAGTACCACTGCTCTTATGCTGAATACCATGGGGCGGGGCCTGGTGGGGGGCGGCTGCACCATGCCTGCTTGCATGGATGCGTACACACTGCATTTATCCCTGTCTGTAGAAACTGTATTAGACAAGGCAGGAAGGTAGATAGAAAGACTTCACAGTATCCAGGGTGGGTGGGTAGCCCAGTGCAGGCGGGTAGGCGGGTAGGTGGGGAGGCAGGCGGGCCGGCAGGTTAGCTAGTTTGGTAATGTCTGGTAGGTAGGTTGGTACTGGACAGAACAAGACGCGCTGACTTAAGGCGGCGGTCAACGCATGTTCCTTTGAATCGTCCATCTGCATCTGAGATCTTGACCGGCTCGCAGTGGAAGCGACCTTGGGAAAAGAGAACTTGCAGCCTTCCTAGGTCCTAGGGTCGGTCCTTCGGCATCTGCGGCCTGGAGCAGTTGCTTGCCCTAGAACTGGCCGGACCTTGGAGCTGCGGCGCTGAAGAGTGAGTTCAGACGCTACACTTTGAGGCTTTGAGATGTTACAGAACCTGGTGCAAGGTTTGCAGGATGTCGGATCTGCTGGCGGGGCGCCTCTCGGTATTGACCAGCAACCATTACGATGCTGTCGCCCGGGTACTTAAACCTGCAAACTTTCACGTGCGAGTCTTGGAGAGTCTCCGCGCGGGTGAATTGCGTCCCAAACCCTGCGTTCATCGTGCGATTGCCAACGCCCGTGTCGTTGCGGTCGGTGTCGGCCCCCGGCACACGGCCGTAAAACGCCTGAGCTAGGAAGCACAACTGACGGAAACGGCATTGTAATCAGCAGTTGGCTGAAGCTCGCGCTTGCTGCGAGAAACCCACCGGCATCGACCTTGTAGCCACAGCAAGGGACGTTGATCCAGGCTTGTCTCTCACACCACTCTGCGCTGGTTTTGGAAATCTTTGAGATCTTCTGCCGCTTCCTAACTGGCGTACCCCTCCGATGAAACCTAAATGGACTTCCCGCCACAAGGGCCACAAGCAATACCAGCTCTTTACTTTTACTGGCACTGGCACAAGGAAGTTGAGCGATGTTGGTGCTGCAATCCCATACATGTAGACTCACCTGCGCTGCTGACGCCCCTGAAATTTGGCCGAGCACAGCGCCGAGGGTCCACCTGACCGTTGGAGAACTGTGTGCCTCCTGCAGGAAAAGGGTCTCTCGAATCACACCTTTATGAGAGAGAGAGAGAGAGAGAGAGAGAGAGAGAGAGAGAGAGAGAGAGAGAGAGAGAGAGAGAGAGAGAGAGAGAGAGAGAGAGAGAAGGGGGAGGGAGGGAAGGAAGGAAAGGGGGGTCAACAGAGACACAGGGAGACGGACAGACAGACAGACAGACAGACAGCCAGCCAGGCAGGCAGGCAGGCAGACAGACTCAGACAGGCTCACACAGACAAAGACAGACAGACACCGACAGACACGGACATACAAAGACAAACACAGACAGACAGAGACAGAAGGAGACAGACATAAGGGGACAAACAGACAGACACAAACAGACGGGGACAGACACAGACAGACGAACACAGACTCGAAAAGACTCACAGACGCAGACAAACGCAGGCAGAGACAGACACAGACAGAGACAAACAGAGACAGAAGGAGACAGACAGAGGGGGACAAACTGACAGACAGAGACAGACAGAGACCGACAGCGACAGACAGAGACAGAGACGGAGACACAAACAGAGACAGACAGACAGAGACAGACAGCGACAGACAGAGACAGACACAAACAAAAACAGTTACAGAGAGACCGAGCCGATAAGTAGGGGGGTTGTTGTTGTTGTCGGAGGTTTGGAAGAACAACAACAGGGGGGTTGTTGTCGGGACTTGCATTGCAGGCGAGCACGGGTGGGGGGGGGGAACACAAGAACGACAGGGGGGTGGGGTTGCTGTTCTCGAGGATGTGGAAGACAAGAACGAAAAGAGGAGGGGTTGTCGTTCTCGAGCAAACATGTGGGACGAGAACGATAGGAGGGGGGAGGGGGGAGGGGGAGTTGTTGTTCTTCGCGGGTGGGGGGCACGGGCTGTTCTTCACGGCAAGAAGTTATTGAAGGAAAAAAGCACTTGCGCCATTGAGTATCCTAATGCAATGCCTACTGACTACGGCTATGCCTGCTACGATTGCTATGACTAATGCTAGTACTACTAACTCCTACTACTACGACGACTACAACTACTACGACTACTACGATCACTACTAGGCTGCCCCCGGCCCCCCCCCGGAAACCCACCGGCTTTTTCAGCCGCGCATGCCTGCTTCCAAATAAACGAACTTCCATTTTGGCTGAGCCGTGCAAATTTGCAAGCACATATGGGTCTTGTGATAACCCAGGATGTGAGAATTGCCGGGGCTGCGCCTCCCCCCTCACCCCCCACGCCTTTTAAGCCGTGCAAGCTGCCTGTGAGTTTCTTTTTTGGCTGAGCCGTGCAAGTTTGCAAGCATGTATGGGCCGGGTCTTGTGATAACCCTGGATGTGAGAACTGTGTTTGCAAGTGCGGGGGTCTGCTTCTAAATAAATGAGCTTCCTTTTGACACCCATCATGCGATCATTGTGTTTCGTGTGTGTTGTACATTGTTGTAGATATATGAAGAACCGGAATGAACTGGAACCGCCAAATGAAGGGGCGTGTTTAGGACATATGCTGAACCGCAATCGCCAAATGATGGGGGTGTGTTTAGGATATAGGATGAATCCAAAGGGCCACCGGAATCGCTTATCAGGGGGGGCACTTAAGATGTATGATGAACCGGAATCGCTTCCAAACCAGAGCCAAGCCATGAGAGGGCGAAGGGCCAAATGAGGGGACGTGCTGAAGACATATAAGGAACCGGAATCCGTGCTGATGGTATATGGTGAACCGGAATCGCCAAATGAGGGGGCGTGTTCAGGATATATGATGAACCGTAATCGCTTATGAGGGGGCGCTCTGGAGATGAATGATGAACCGGAATCGCTTCCAGGCAAGCACCACTCCGTCTGTGGGAAGCGAATGTATTCGCTTAGACCCTCGAAAGCGGACTTTTTCACCTAGCCCGAGAGTCTCGGTGCGGTCTTTCGGTCTGCGAACAAGAGTCCCTTCAGGTCTCTTGCTCACGGCCTGCGTTCTGTACGAACAGCGCGACTCACTCCACCTCCGCGCGCTGTTCTGCCACTCCTTGCGCGCCCAACTTCTCTGCACCCTTCACGAACTCCGGGAAGAGAGCGGGGTCTGGAGACTGGGGGAGGTTCCGGAGCCACTTGTAGCCCTTGCTGTCTCGCGAAACTCCCTCGGAAGCGGTGGCTGCAGAGGTCACTCTGTGGAACGAAAGCGCCAAACCTGCATGAAGATAGCTCCCCATCCGTTGGAGCTCCCGTGCAAAACATCCCTCGGGACTCCGTCTCTCAGCCAACGGTTTGCCGCCCTGCGGCTGCAGTGAGATCCGGACCGGTTTCAGTTTTGGCAGAAGCTTCTCCAGCTCCTGCAAAGCGAACCGAAGCGGAGAGCTCAAAGAAGTCGGTTTGTTGAGGCTGCCTTGCTGTCGGGGTGCCTTCGGACACGCGCCGCTCGCGGGGAGTTTTGCCTTGGATTCCTTCATTCTGGCGCCTATGATCCGATGCAACCGTTGGACTGACGCGAAGGCAGGCCTCGACGTTGTGGAAGTAAGTTTCCATCTGCAAAAATGGGCGGCGGCCAACATGAGCAACGAGATGGACAAGAAACAAACCGCGTCAGCGAACCTTATGTAACTCCACACCGATCCCGAGGATCGGAAAGGTAGGACCTGGTGTAGCCAGACCCGCTCGTCACGCTCTTCTGGAAGAACTGTTGAGCGCTCGAAAGGCGACCTCACAGGAAAGTTCCGGTCCGCGCCCTCGCGGTCGACTGCGGACAACTCCGGATACAATCGTCGCCGTTCCTTGGTACGGAGGGCTGTTGGCGGCCCAGACTGTGCTATTGTGGCCGCTGTGCAGCCAATCGTCCGCTCTGCGAACCTTCTCTCCTGCACGACCGGAGAAGTTTTGGCCGCGAACACCTCGTGGTTCTTGGCCTTCTCCACCAGCCATTCGGACGAGAACGGGCCCACGAACCTGTTCTTCTTGGCGTGTGTGAAGCGACCAGTCTCATCGAGTGGGCCAGGTTGAACGAGCTGAACTGTTCTGGCGACCAAGGGCTCGCGTACTTACTGTCCTATCTCAAGTTCCAGCAGCTTCCTGGCGGAATCCCCAAAAGAGATCGCAGACTAGCGGCTGCCATTCAAGGAAGTCCGGCAGCTGGAGCAGGTATGCGAACGCGAGGAGCTGCACGACGAACTTGGGCTTGCTGGCGGCGCAGGTTCGGACAACAGTGGGACCCCAACGAGCCTGCGGCACACCAGCTTCAGGGCCCGTCAGACGGCGAGTTTAGCCACGTGCAGTGGTCCACGACGCTGTCGGGCCTTTCCGATCAACTTGAACCCGTGCCTCGAGTTCGCCGTCCAACAGCAAGAGAAGATGGGCCAAAAGGTAGTGGGTTGGCGCGAAACCGTCGTCGCGTCGTCGAGGACGTGCAGGCTCTGGTGGACGAACTGTCCGAAACTGAAGCGCCTGTGAGTTGACTGGGACGACCTTGGCGGCTAACGGCTAGCGGCTAGCGGCAACAGGATCACGAACAACAGGAACCGACTTGTCGGAAGATGCCATGACTTTCCGAGCTGCTTGCACCGTGATCTCTTTGGAACAGCCGTAACCTTGTGGGTAGTCGTGGAGAAACTCGCGGACTGACGAAGACGGCGGGCCAAGCTTGCCTTTTTATTCACTCTGTGCTGCCAAGGTGCGGTCCTGGCGCCACCTGCTCAACGTGTTGGGCGACTCCTCGCACTTCCTCTTGTATAAAGGGGGCTTCCCGTCCTCTGTTGGCGCCGGGGTAGTCAAGCACGGAAAACGAACGCATCTTGCGATCGACGGGATGAGTCGCTGGGGTCACAGTTGACCCTGGGTCAGGCGGTGTGATGTGGGTCGATGCCGCGTCGCGCACGAACGACTTCACGTTGACGAGCCCATCGAGGGTGGTTTGTGCGTCCTTCGCCATCGTCACGTTTTCGAGCAACAAGCCGAACTTGAAGGGGCACATGTCCCCGAAATGGCTCCACCACTCTTCGATCCATTGCACGAACTTTTGTCCTTCGCAACCCTTTGTGCCTTTGGCTTCGTTGCCTTTGATCTGGTGAAAATCGGGGCACGGTGGGGCGCACGCCACGATGATGAAAGTGCCGGGCGGACATTGCTCCTTCTGCTGACAGCGCGTCCCCTTGCATGAAGTTCTATGGTCGGGTGTCGCTGGCGGACCACCTTGTTGCACTCGGGATCCCAGTTCCCACGACTGGCGTGCGCTCCCTGTGCCATCGAAGAACGACGAGAGAGCGACCAGGGTGCTGCGCCTATGCGGATCCGCAAGTTCGTGGATTTCTTCATCAACGTGGTCCGCGACAAGCAGAGCAATGTACCGCAGATTCGCGAGTATTATCGCAAGACATCCTGGGACCTCGCAATGGACATGAGAGCCGAGGGATCGTTCCAAGAGGGCGCCGAGAAGATCATCACGAGCACCGAGAGGCATGACGCCTTGGCTCGATGGATGCCACCCGACACTAAGGGCAAGGGCAAGGATCTGGATGGCAAGGGCAAGTCCAAGGAGTTCGGCAACGGAGGAAAGGGCAAAGCTCGCAGTACGGCACCGTACCCGTCGCCAAACTAACCCAAGCCCAGGGCAGCATGCAGGTTGTTCGCAGCAGGCTTCGCTTCGGCGTGCAAGTTCAGTCACGTGCAGCCGCAGTCCGTGCCAACTCCGCAGGTGCCAGGCCTAGGGGCGACACCTGACACGAGTGCGCTCGGGAGTGAAGTTTTTCCGCCGTTACCCCCACCCTTAGCCTCCCCTAGTCCCCTTTCGGTCGGTAGCTTGCAGAATCGCTCTGGCCCGGTCGACTCAAAAGTCGTGGGGACCCCAGCGGCCGCAGTGCCACGACCCGTGATCACCTCTAGGTTCCTTTTTGTCCCCGCAATTTGGAGAGCCAGGCGACAGCCTCAGTCCGCAGAGAAGCCGATGCAAGTTGTCGGTCAGCCCGCTCAGACAAACTCACGGTCCGAGCCTCACGAACTCTTCGCCCCAACGGGCAAATATATATATATATATATATATATATATATATATATGTATATATATATATATATCATCGCCCAGCGCACAGATTCGAACGCGTCGATGACTGTGAGGGCCTTCTGGGGCTCGGGCATCTTCTTGTCTCTGCGAACCAGCGAGCCTGATGCGTCCAAGCTAAGAGAATCGGAGAACCGGTCGCCGGACTTGGCCCAAGGGTTTGCCTGTCTGCTGGGGGCGAAACTGCGGACCGATATGATCTCGCCCACCTTGACTGGGCGCTGAAAAGGTGTGACGTTTCCTTCTTGTACACCATTCTCGCAAGCGTCTCCTCTGCTCCGACCAAAAGGTGAACTGGAAACTGCGATTGCGACCTTCAATCTGCTCAGCCTCGAACTCCTTGAATCGTTTAAACATGCCAATATTATCCTTTGGGCAACTGCTTCGGGGCCTTCTGCTGGTCGGAGCTGGCGGCCGAGAGAGGCGTTGGGGCTGCCGAGGCCATCTGCTTGGCCCGCTGGACCGCAATCTCGTCGATCATGTGCTCGAGCACCGTGACATCGGCGCCCACGTCGTCAAGCTTGAAGTTATCGCTGCCGACCTTGACACCGAGGCGGCGAGGAGCCAACGTGGTCGGGATCTTCGACCGGTCTTCAAACAGGTGGAAAAGCACGCCAGAGTTAGAGACCCCTTTGTCCAGCAAGAACACGACGACCTGTTTGTCGGGCCCGGAAGCGACGGCGAGGTCCTCGAACTTCGGCAGGATCACGCCTGGGCCGGCGGAAGGGGACCTGGGCTTGTCTGAAGTCGCTCGAGCAGGTACCTGCTCTGCGGCGACCTCTGGCAAGCACTCAGCGCACTTTGCGAGGCCTGGCAAAACTTCGACATGTCTGAAGTGATTGCACGAACCGTAAAACCAGCGGCCACACAAGGAAACCCAGTCGAAACTCTGCAAAGCCTGTTCATTCTCACACGGCTGGTGAGCGAACTTGGTTCTCGTACTACGCGCGAATGTTGCCCGGCTCTGCCAGCACTCGGCCACGACTCTGCGGGATGATAGACTCCAACGTTCGTCACGGCACTGGGTTGCACTGAAGAAACTGAGGAAGCGGCCGATTCGCCTGCCAACGATGACCGAACTTGTTGAGATGTCCGGCTCGGAATGCACAATGAGTCTTGAACATACGCTATCATTGTGGACATCGAGCCCCAGCGGCCCAAAATTTGAATAACGGGTAAACTATTCAGCGTGTGTGAATAATAACTGAGAACCGGAGACACGAAAACAGTTCCGAAAACAGTGTTGCGACCGCTTGTCCAACGCTGAAGGGCTCCAGTCCGACAAAGTCTCCCGCTGCAGCACGAAAGCACAAGCCTGAGCCAGCTGCGTCAATTGACGTGGACTCGGCGGAACCGGACTTTTTCCGAACAAGGGGGTCGTACGACCCTTGCATCCTGCGCTTGATCATCAGTGCCAACAAAGTGTGGAAGACACACAATGGGTGACGGCCCCCCCGGCACGAACACTTCCGCAGCGGAGCGAACATTGTCGCCGGGCCTGTCGACTCGCTGCACTGTGCCTGATGCACAGGACTGCATACGCAGAAACGCTTACGCTCGCAGCCTTTGCCCTCCAGATCTCGTTTGCTCACCGGTAGGCGAACTGTCACGGACAGCTCCTGTCGATTGAAGCGAACATCTGCGCCAGTTACGTTCGCGACCTCTATCCCTCTCAGGAGGAACCAAGTTGCCGTAATGGCAGCGGTCGCAGGCTCTCCTCCATTCGCAACGGAACGCGGACCTCAAGTTCGGTGCAAGCGCGAAACAAAGACTGTGCAAAATCGTCCTTGATGTTATCGAAAAAGAGATCCAACTTTGCAGAGGCTGGACCCATTCCGCGAGTGATGGACCTGATGGCCTGTGCCCGGGCTATAAGTCAAGCCAAGCTGTTGCGTCCATTCCCAGCCGACTTCCACGTGCTTTGTCTTGGCGACCGAAACATACTGCGCTGCGGACCGGTATCTTCCTGCCTTCAGTAAGGACCCTATTCCGTCAATGAGTGCCACCGTGATTGGCAGCGGTGGCATCTGCCGTCTAGCCACCATGGGCCTCGACGTCTTTGCGAACTTGTCAAAGTGAAAGTCCCTATCTGCCTCAGGCCGATACGTTGCAACGAACCCCTAGCATAAGGGTGCACGACACGTATGTCGTTGCGCACCGGCTGGCGGGACTGCATGAGTCTATCCAGCGCCACGTCCCCCAAGATTTCGCGCAAGCGTGATCGCGATCTCGCCGACTTTATGCCCTGCTGACTCAAGGGCAGCAGAAACTCCGAATTCCCCGTCTCTCGCAACACTTCGACCAAGCTTGCGAACTGACTTCGGTCGGACGAAAATCAAATGTGCCACATGATCCTAAAACCTCAGCCGCTACACAACTTGAGGAGGCAGTACTGCCCCACGCTGCTGTTACTTTCCCTTGCGAACTAAGGCGCGAACTCACGAATTGCTGTCGACACACGTGTGCATGCACCCGGACCGAACCCTTGCATTCACTCTTTTTGGCTGCGCGGTTTGTCTGGCGACTCAAGATTTGCTGCTCTTCGGTGCGAACGTGAAGCCCTGACGATTTAGTTACCCAAAGCGAACCCACTCCCGGCCACAAAAACAAACACCGAAGAGACCCTGAACGTGCCCCAAGCCCCGCCAGGAAAGCCCAAAAACGCGAACGGCGAACCACGTCGCTCTCGGGTTCAGCAACTTGCACTGGTCGTGACATGCGTCACACAGATGCTTGTCATGTCCACGCCTGAACCCACTCTTGTTCACGCGAAAGCATGCTTCACCCCAACAGCTCAGACATCGGAGGCCACAGGCCATCTGTGTGTCCTGGTAGCTCGGTGCACGTGCCTCGAACACCAAACGGGGCGAACTGCGGTGGATTCGCCGGACCTGGAAGGCCTGCTGCGATGATCTCCGCGATCGTGCGAGGCCTCTGCTGCGAACTTGTGTCCGTGACCGTGGCCACCCTGGCCCTTGCTTTCGACACTGGGGCGGCGCTCTTCTCCTTCGGCTGCGAACTGGTCGAGAGCTCGCCGCTGCACTGGTAGCCGACCTTGCCGGTGGCGGAGAGGTTGGAGCGGGTGCCATCAAGAGCTATGGCATCTTCGCCGGACAGTGGCGGCTGCCCTGGTGCGACCTGTCCCTGCTGCTTGGCCGCCGCTTTCGAAACCTGAGCGCCTTGCACTGTGCCATCGTTGAACACTGGCGGCCTTTTCCCGGCCTTCGCTGTAGGCGGACCTGCCGTAGACGGGGTCGGCGGACTGGCCGTAGGCAAAGTAGTTGAACGGTCGTTGCGTAGAGGTCCGACCTGTACGTCCTTTGCCTCCAAGCCTTGCCCTGGTCCCTGGGGATCGGCTTGACTGCGACCTGGCTAGCCGGCTTGGCCGACGAACTGGTAGTCGACGATGCAGGCTGTGCGGGAGGGGCTGCAGCGACCTGGCCGGCCGGCTTAGCAGGCGAACTGGTAGTAGAAGAGCAGGCGGTACGACCGAAGTGGCACCTGCATCACCTTGCGACCATACTTCAGCTCGAGGCTTGGGCTCCTGGAGACAGGTACGCCCAGTGTGCGCAGAACGGATCTTCACGAGATCCTCGTCAGCAACCTCGAAAAGACCACCATCAGCTCTTCTTCCGTGGCCTCTGCGACCTCGACCACGGCGGACCACAATTGGTTACGACGGGCTTCTGTAGTCATGGCGAAGCGAACACGGAAAAAGGAAAAGCTCACCGACACTCGAATCTGGAAGCTTCGGCTGTTTGCGAACTCAGACGCGACTGTGCAAAGCGGACTAGCAACACTGCGTCCTGCTTGTCACTCTTTGCACACGTGCAAAACACAACCAAAGCCAAGCCAAGCGGAACCGGGCCGCCGGGAGGGCCGGGGAGGCTACGAAGAACAACAACAGAGGGGGGGGTTGTGTCGTTGTTTGGGTGGAGAGAGGAGGGGGGTGGAGAACAATCAGAGTTGGGGGCGGTGGACTGTCGTTGTTGGAAGGGAAGGGGGAGCAACAACAGTTGGGGGGGGTATTGTCGTTGGAGGAGAGGAGGGGGGGGAGAACAACAACCCCCCAACCCCGCTATCGGCTACATCTGGACACAACGGGACAGACAGACAGACAGACAGACAAGCAGACATACAGCCAGCCAGCCAGGCAGACAGACGACCTACAGACAGACGGACGGACAGAAAAGGCTTTGCATTCTTACCGAAGTGCACCGACTGAAGCAGACATGCATCTTACTGTGTGCATGATCGCCTCATTTCTCACGTCCACACGAGCACACACTGCTAGGAATAGGAGCGAGCCTAAACCGTGGGGGCCACAAGGATGGCAAGCTTGCCAGCGTGAGAAACATGCTGTCGTTGTAGCTTTAAAGCGTGTCAGTGGGAATTGAAGCCATGTCGCGGTAATGACGGACCGACAGACAGAAGGACGGACGGGGGCCTGAGTTGCCCATGACGGGCACTTGCACCATCTGCAGCATGTACGGAGCGGGCCTCCAAGGACAAAGGCGGATGTAAATGGGCCCCGGCCACTCTCTGTTTTCTCTCTCTTTAACTCCCTTCGCTCTTTCTCGCTCTGGTCCGATCTGGCGCCTTGACTACAATCGAAGATCCCTTTCACTCCCCTGCTCTCCGGCACTCCCCGCCGACCACATTCTGACAGTCAAATTGCGCGCTGAGCTCCACTCGCTCCCCAATTCGGCTCTGATGGCTGAGAGTACCTCCGGGGCGCTTGATGGAAAGCTCAGGTCTTCGTGCCACGCTCTGCGCACATCGCGGGCTTGTCTGGCCTCAGCTACTCCCGTGCTCGAGGAACTTGACACTCGTTTCACGGACAGACCCGACGCACTCGCCACGCTCTGCTCCGCAACCCAGTGGCTTGACTGGCTGCCGCGGCCGCGTCGCCCGGAACGGAGAGGACGACGGGTTCCCGAAACGTTGCTAGTCCTACTCCGAGACTCCAAGCAGTGCCGTCTTGTGGCTGGAGTAGCAAAGGGTTTTTAGGACACCCCATGATGTAGAAATCTGGTTCAACCTCAACGTCACTACTCTCGAGCCGAGCAAGCGCATGAATCCTAGTCGCCATGTCCGAGCTCCACGGCCTCACTACAGGGCCTAGAGTCTAGAGCCGATCGCATGCAATGGGATTGTCCAGCTATCGTTGAATCGTTTAATGTTCCTGATGTCTCCCATGTAAAAGCCTCCAGACCCCAACTAAGGTTCCTTAAAGGGTTCCTTGAAGGGAGGGTTCAAGGGGATTAGAGGTTTAGGGCTTAGGGGTTTACCGAACTCCTGTAGACCCCAATCCACAACCCTCAAGCCTTGAGGGCCGTGAGCAGGCTTGAAAGTGAGTACTGTACTGTACTGCTTGGACATCTGCGTCACTTCTGTTGTTCTGTGTCCTGAAATCGGATGCCACGCAATGTCTCGGACCAAGTCTTCACAACCAAGATGATGTACTCCGTATACATGTCCCAATGCGAGGCATCTCACTTGCCCATCCTCTTGTATTTCGTAGTTTCACTCCGAGCTTCATGTTCCAGCAAGTCTATACAGCCCCCAGCACCATCTCCGCTCCAGCTCTGCTTGGCACCCCAGTTGCAAGACTCTGCCAGCTGAGATGAAGGAATGCCACGCAACGGTGGGCCCTTCACAAAACTCGGATTTGCAACCAACATCATCCATCACCAGAAGGCTTCCGCTTGTGGCCAGCATTGACATGTGGAGTAAATCTGCCGAAGCGTCTGCTTCAGTATGGCTACCATCTATATAAATTACGTCGCATTTGTGTCCTATGTTCTGCGATATGAAGCGAGGAACAGACACGTTTGAAAATCCTTCCACCAACTTGTGCCGGCGCGGAAACGTAGATCGTATGATTCGGTGGCATGCTCGGGTGTATGATTTCGATATCACGTCAAAAGACACCAGTTGTGTTGTTGACAAAGCACTTGACAGCATGGCCCACGCAGAATGTCCGCCGTTGAAGCCGACCTCACAAATTTGTCGAACCGTCACAGAAGCAGTTTGCTGAGAAAGCCAAAAGGCTTGAGTGATTGATGACGCGCTTTCCATGCGAACGAAGCCGTCGCTGTCAGCTCTTAAGCTGTTCAGCATGACCCAAGTAAGAACCACATGTCCCAGAGCCACAGCACTGCGATCTCCTCGTGGCAGCAGTTTCATCAACCACCGCAGGTCGGTGCTAACCCTAGGAGTGAGGTTGGCCTGGCGTGCGTTCCCGAGAAGCGGAATCAACGCAGTTTCCAGGAAGCCAATGTCAGTCAGTGCACGCAGAGAGGCGAGATCCCTGATTGTTGCCAGCCCCTCCTCGCCAACGTCGGAGGCCACAGCAGTTCCAAGCTCGCGAACTACTGCCCACATGTCATCCACTGCCCGTAAAAAAATATGTCCATTCTTTGAGTTGTTTGAACTGTCGAGAAGAAGTTTTCGAGTGGTGCTCAGCTCAACGGCGAGCATGCCTCGTGGATCTGCCAGATTGGACTCGCTGATTGGCGATTTCAAACACCACAGGATGAGGTACCACAGCGAACGTACCATGCTGTGCTCGTACTTGTCGCATGTACTGAGCTGATCTTCGATCTACATGGGACTATGTCCATGGGAAAGCACCATAGAGCAGGAAGACCTGCAATAGGCCTTTGGGCCAGCAGCAACATGCGGAAGTCATGCAGGCCCGCGAATATCTTGCTGGAAACAGGGGGGTACCGAGTGTGGCAGCATACCATCAGGAATGCAGCAATGCATCCTGAATTTTCACTGTGAGTGATGATGCACGATAATTCGACTGACAGTCGCAGAAAACGTGTGCCCTCGCGACTGGTCTGTTTGGGGCAACCGGTGCAAACCCTGATTCTTCAACCTTCCGAGGATGCAGCAGACTGGTGTCCTGCGACCTGTGAGCAATGCCGTTTTCGTTTGGATGGCGGGTTGAGTGATAAACACCTTCTGACATCGCCGCCCGCCTGTTGTTAGGCCTTGCAGCTCTCGAGAAGTTGGCTGTGCCCAATTCTTTGAGGTGCTTGCCGAAACCGCCGCAGAACACCACAGAAACCTCCCACCTCCTGGGCTAGTCCTGAACCAGCGGCGGAACCTCCTCAGAACCCCAGGATGGTAGTCCCAAACCTACGCTGCCAGAACAAACCATACCTTCTACTGAGAAGGTAGCTGTCCGCAGTAGTATTCGATCTACCTGGCCTGGAACGTACGACACATGTGAAAAGCGGTCCACTGATTTTCTCAAGCTGCACGCTGCCTGGCTAGCCAGTCCCATCAAAGAAGTGCAACCGCAGCCTGCTCAGCATGGCACCTAGTATGCACCTACCGGCCCATCGTAGGACTCAGCGCCGAAGGGGTTTACCAACAACGCCGGCCTCAGTGCACTAACATCTGCTCTTGAGTGGCCTCGAGACAAGTTTAGTCGATGTCTTCAGCAGAGCCGGAGCCGTCAGTGAAGTCGCTGCGATTTGCACTCTCGAATAAGATGAGCCCCAAGATGCTGTCGACAAAAGTGCCTATGCAGATATCCGAGCATATCAGCATGGTGTCTGAGTATCGAACTGACGGACCCGCGGATTGTCGAGAAAGTCGGACAAGCAGTCAGGCCCCACCAAGAGGCAGCTGACATCATCACAATACAGACCAGCCTCTGCGCAGAACTGTAACAGCTGCAATCTGACAGCATGTGACCAGATCTACTGCGTCGCTCCTCGTTCCGTTCCCAGCGTGCTTGCGCTTCTTGCACCAGCGCCGATGCCATTTCCGCCTCCTTCCGCGAACTTCGCAGAGTCGCCAAGACCTTGTGGAGAGACCGGTCCCGTCCAGCGCATCCGTGCGCATCCTAGAGCCCTTGGGAGCAAAGCCCACCTCGACGGGAGCCAAGAACTCGAACAAGCCATCACTGCCCAGAATCAAAAGAGCCTGCCCACAACCGGCATCAGACCATGTCCCAAAGGCAAGAAGTGGGGCTCTAAAGTAAGCATATGCAGGCTACGACCATGCAGGGTGCGGCAGTGATGGGGCTTCCAGACTTGATGCAAACCGCGTGAGTCGCATTACGTGCCTCCAACAAGTACGAGCATTAAGGCTAATTCCAGAAAGCCTACTGTAGCCTGCGGCACATGCTAGGCCCCTACTCCTGACCAGCAGAAGCACCCAAGTGTCGTGACCTGTCTCTCTTCACTTGCCTTGCTATTCAAGGCGCTGAACCTTGCAAGCCTGTAAGCGTACATCTGGAAAAAGTCAGATGGTTTTTGTCAGAGGAAATGCGAAACCCACAAAGAGCTGGTTTCGCGGACCTGCACTACATGCTTTCGAGGCTTCTAGTCAGACTTGGCAAGGCACTCCCGGTGGCTGCAGATTGATGCAGCCTCATTTGCTTGCCACAAGGAACCTGTCCATATTCGGAGCCTTTGGAGCTCTCCGTCCGTCGAGGAGCTTTGCAACTTTTCATCGGTTAGGGCTTGGATTGTCTCCGGACTGCACGCTGCAGTAGTGCGGCACCGCCTGCAAGTCTTTGCTGCGCTGTCTTGGCCGTGTGAGGCTTTGAATTCAGCCCAATCCATCCCAAGACGAACCACCCCTGCCCCGAGCACCTGGGCGAGGCAGCGCGGCAGGCCCACGGAGTGATGAGAAATAATGAGAATATCCAGTGCGTCAGCCAAGTGCGAGAGGTGGCATGTGGTGGTGTCCCGACTGCCCACACCCACCCCGCTCACCGGAGCACGCGTGCACAAGCCCGCAGCAGGAGCTCTCTCGTTTGAGTAATGGTCCGAGCTTGGCAGGACCGTGGAGTGCAGCGGTGCAGTTGACTGACACTTCGAAACGGCAACTAAAGTTACTAAAGCATTGTAATCCAGGTAGGATAGAGAAGAAACACATTGCCCTCAACTGGGCCCAACACATGGCCCCCTATAGATCCGAAGACCATTGAGACGTACGAAGAGTCAGCACAAAGGATACTGCACAGAAGCACTATAGATCCCAAATCCAATATCCCGGCCTTGTCATGGCGAGCCATGGAGACGGAGGGCTCGGCAACTACGCCAACTGGCTTCACCTGAAACTTCAGACTTAACGAAAGCGCCGAAAACATGAGGCTCCTGCAGGCTCAAACGCTTCGTCTTTACTGCAAGGAGTTCCCACAGGAAGTTTTCTCCGAATCCTCGTCCCTCTTCCTTTTGCCAGGTTGCGCAAAGGTCACCAAAGGATCTGCTCATGGCCAGTCCATATGACCGTCTTCCGTACACGCGGGACATGACGGTGTTCCTGCAACGCCTGGTCGAGAACAGTCTCCTTCGCAAGTTAGACACATCTTAGGCGCAGATGTAGCCAAAATGAACGAAAATCTAATCGTGAGACGTGAGAGGCTGCTGCGCCATGTCGAAGATAAGCGATATCAATGCTCCTTGCTCCTTGCGGCCCACACTTGAGTTTGTCTGCCAGCCGTGGCACGGCACATTCCCTCGACATTCTGGGTGTGGCCAATGAATGCCGCACCATGCCATCAAGTTTTGAGATTGCAGCCGTTGCCGAAATAGTGCCCACCTCCGCCCTCCTTCCAGTCTTCCAGACTGGAAATTGTCCGGACAGCTTGCACTAGCCGAGACTGAACTTCGAAATCACGGCAGGGCCACACATTCGTCCTTGCGGGCTGTTGGGACATTCACCTTGTGCCTTTGTGCGCTCCAACGAGCTTGTGCTGATCCTCGTCCTTCGGAGAGGGTTGCGATTTTTCCGGATTTCCGCTCCGCTTTGCGGAACCCCCCCCCCCCCCCCGGGCCGTAGGTGTTCAAAAGCTGACAGAAGGCCGCACAGGAACCAGATCCTCCGTGGACCTAGCAACATGCGGATCTTGTTGAAAGAGTCATGACAATATCGGATAGCAGAAGGACACCGTGTGACACGACCGACAGCAGTATGGTCAGTATGTCTACGCGACCCTAGCCCTAGTCCAATCAATCGAAGGTAGTACCAGCGCCACATTGAGTGCATCCGCTCAGGCTGGCACGGGCGCTCCACTTTAATCGAGCCACCAGCTGCGACGATTCCTCAGGACTCTCAACACCACCACGGGCCTGAGGACTCTGCAAGCTCTTGTGCTTGCAAGCTGCGCTGCTGCTCCTTGGTGTCGTGTGCTTTGTGCTGACGACTGGTCGTTATGGTTCCTTCGGCCTCAATCAAACGGAAACAAACATGTTGGCTACCAGTGGTTGCACATCCTGAACATACTGTATGCAAGTCTGGGGGGCAAACGTCAACAATCAAAGCTTGGCTGTCTCCACATGACGCGAGGTATGTGCCCTGCCCGCAGACTTGCTTGCAACAAGCCATAAGATAATGCCGAGTAAGCATAGTAACATAGTAGTTCTTCGATTTTGCAGCAAACACGAAGAAACAGGCCTCCTCTGTTAACGAGGCCGTCACAACAGATGCTCCTCGACAGTGTCGGGTCACCAGTGCGATACTTGTACAAACATGAGACCAAAGTCGGTTGAATGAGTATTGAAGCTAAGCATACCTAAAGGCGTCTCCCGCCTGATGTGATCAAATCGAAGCCATTTTCAGTTGCGGCAGCTTCCAAATCTGCCTGACACTTGAATGCGGCAACGCTGCATGTTGTAGAAGTTGTAGACTGTACAACATGTCTCAAGGAAAGACTCGACATGCACAGCGGCGCCTCCGCTTCTGCAAAAGCTTTCTTTATGGAGTCGGTCACGCGATCGCTCTGGATAGCCTCAGGCTTAGACCCAGACGTGTGCCCTGGCATGCGACATTTCAGCCTTCTCCAGGAGGTCGGGCAAGACCGTGCAGAGGTGCGCAGCAACTTGATGGCCACATTTTCCGTGTCCATCTGCAACGACCAGAGACCAACGACCTGACACGAGTCCGCATAGTCCGCTTTCGCCCAAAGCTACCGACTCTTTGCTCTCCCATCTCAGCTTCAGCCTCGATCATCGCAGCGAGCTACCACGCAATCTGCGGCACAGGCAACGAAATGTCTGTTCCTTATCGCATCCTCGCTATTCCGGGTGGTTCGTCGCAACAGCCTGCAACATCCTGCAAACCAGTATTTCACATCTGCAAATCCCGATCTGAAAACCTGCAAGGTGTCGAATACCAGGCAACAAATTACATCACGATATATGCAGCGCTCATCACGAGGTGTCAGCATGGCCTTGGTTGATGTTGCCATGTCTTCTCTTCAAACCTGTCAGCGGTTTGCGCCATAAAGTCCTTGGACCTCCGCACACCTGACCCTGCCGGCCCCGCCTGTGGTTGAAGCTACTTGTACGAAAGTGTTCGCGGGCTGCTCACCGGACACAGCGACTTTAGCCAATTGAAACCTCGGCATCGGCGATGCGTTCGCCCTCACGACCCCGTGTGTGTGTGTGTGTGTGTGTGTGTGTGTGTGTGTGTGTGTGTGTGTGTGTGTGTGTGTGTGTGTGTGTGTGTGTGTGTGTGTGTGTGTGTGTGTGTGGTGTGTGTGTGTGTTCTCGAAAAGCCTTCAGCCATTTTCAAACTAGATCGCATCGTCATAGTTGGCTACAGGCACTGTCGACACGAAACAAGACTGCCGCCTCCGACATTCATCATGACCAAGCCGGAAACACAGACATTGAAACCAACACCACCCTTTGGAATAGTGGGCCACCTCGAAGATAAGTGCAGCTCGACATGTACATGTCTTTTTGAATAATTGCTGGCCGCAGCAGCGGATTGGTTTCCAGACCACACTGTGTCGAAACTTGGAAAGCCTTGCCAGACACTGCTCATAAAAACGAGCACATACGTGGCTGGCGCGCGTTGAAAAAGAGTGCATGAGCTGGCTCGGCCCTGAAGTTCGACAGCAACAAATTGCAGAAGCTCGCGAGAGGCACAGAGACTTCTCCGTGCAGCAACTTCAACCAAGGCTCAGGATGGGCGTGCATGCGACTTTGAGCTTTCGACCGGGATAGCACAATGGATGCCACAACTTGGACGACAAGCGTGCCAAAGCGGAGTGGTTGGAGACATGCAGCTGCCAACTGCCAATGTCAACTGTGATGGTACCTTCTAGTCGCACATCTGCAAGATGCAAGCATGTGCAAGCCATACCAGCCAAGCTTCGGCAGCTTCTGCAGATAGTGCATCCGGTAGGCTTGACAGGTCTCGGTTGACGGCACGACCTCTGACCATTGCACGCATCGGGCCAGGCTGTGAGTGCCTTCGGCGGAGACACGGCCCATGGCTGCAGGCAGTGCATTACCTTCTGACGCAGAGCAAAGTGATGGACTGACATCTGTTGCAGATCTCCAAACTTTGACTGTGGCTCTGAGAAACCTATATAACGACATGAAGCCTTCGCATAAGACACTATGCACAGGGTATCGTGGACCAGCTACAACGATCCATAGCTGGTTGGGAGTGTTACTCCGGCCGAAATTTTCAGTACGGCTCGTATGCGGGTCTCATCAGATACAAATTCATGCCATCCGGGAAGTCCATATCAAGGTAAAGAACAGCCACGGCGGTCGAAGCTTCTTTCGAACGGATGTTTGTTGTCCGAGATGCATTGCCGGCTCTGACTGAGAACAGTCTTCAAACATCCTCCAGGTCGCCAGACTCGCCAGGCTAGATCTCTCTCTCTCTCTCTCTCTCTCTCTCGCTCTGCCAAAGTCTACCGGTCCCAGTTTCCATCTTCCAGGTCAACAAGCAGCTGTGTCCTCCATCGGACGATCTTCGTCTTGCTTGCGCCGCCTGGAGGCCGGCTGCTCAACTTAAGGCAATATTGATTCTTCACGGCGTTTCTACGCCCAGACATTGGCGAGCCTCCTCATCTCGCCTCCTTCAGTGTCAGCACGCTCTGATCGCGAGGTTGAACCCAGCACTTTCGATTCCACCTGACGACGATTGCAACTTCTCAAGACTTGCTGACAGCGATTTGGTTTCGAAATGAAACATGGGCCGTGGGTCCTATCCTCCTCGAAACAGACCGGCCTGGTCGCTGATTTCGTTGATTTTTGTATCAACTTTCAGCACGAAGGACCGGAGGATGCTATTTCCAGTGAACCTGGAAACAACAATGGAAGGTTCATGCCCGGGTGCCACAGGACCGCTCTTCTGGGTACTTCTCAGATTCTAGTAGGGTCCAGGAGCCTGTAGTTCAAGAAATCGAGGAAAAACATGATCTCGACAAGGCCACCAATCCAAGACTGGATGTCGGAGTAGCGAGGCATGTTGATCTGCCGGACAAGTATCAACACTGGAATCTCTGCTGAAAGTCAAAAACGGCATGCATGTGTAGTGTTGCTGGCAGCGCCTTCTTGTAAATCCAATTCAGCGCATAGAAGACACGGTATCCCCCGAGCATCACCACATACAGGCTGGTGCCCCTCGGACAAACGAGACAAGATGTGCAGAACATGAAAACTTTCCTGCTGTTACGCTAAGAGCAGGACACATCTTTATTCACCCGCTCCCGATAGCAGAAGATATACTGCGGGACCTGGAGAATGAAATATCGCTAGTCATCAATACAAATCATGTCCACGAGCAGGAGTTTTGACCAATCCTGTGCCGTTTGCATGGCATTTAAATTTACGAGCGTCCAGGCCTACAAATGAAACGGCATTGCAGCATTTCAAATTTCAGGGAAACCGAGCAAAGAGCACACATGTCCGATCATGCCCGCACTGGCGTACATGCTCATAGTACATCCAATGCAAAGGCACGCATGCGCGTACGTCCAAAGCTAATATGTGCAACTGTATGAGGGTGGCCATGAGGATGATGAAGAAAATCATAAGATTGATGAGAACCTAGAACACATGCACATGCTGTTGTTAATGAAAAGCATGGGTGCAGAGGTGGCAGCAGCACCAGCTGTTGCATAGCAGCATAGCAGCATAGCAGCATAGCAGTGGCAGTGACATTGCCGCTTGGCAGCGGCAGTGGCAGAAGCAGCAGCCGTAGCAATCGTGATAGTCATACCATTGGTAGTGGTATGTAATGGCTGTAGCGGTGGTAATGGTAGTCGTGGTAGTTGTGGTAGTAAGGGTAGTAGTGGCAGTGGTGGTGGTGGTGGTAGTGGTAGTAGTGGTAGTAGTGGTAGTAGTGGTAGTAGTGGTAGTAGTGGTAGTAGTGGTAGTAGTGGTAGTAGTGGTAGTAGTGGTAGTAGTGGTAGTAGTGGTAGTAGTGGTAGTAGTGGTAGTAGTGGTAGTAGTGGCAGTAGTGGTGGTAGTGGTAGCAGCGTTATTAGTGGTACTACTGGTAGTTGTTTTCTATTTTTGTAGCAGCGGCAGCAGCAGTAGTAGTGGTAGACCATGTGCAACAGCAAATGTGGTAGTAGCCACAGTAATGCTTGCACAATAACACTAGCAGCACCGGGAGTAGCACTGGCAGTAGCTGTGATAGTAATAGTAATTGATAGTAGTGGAGTTGTAAGAGTAGCAGTAATACGAACCACAATAGTACCAGTAGTATTGGTAGTTGCTGTTGTTGTTGTAGAAGTGGTAGTAGTACTGGTGGTGGTGGGAGGTAATCATGGCGTTGGTAATGGTATGGTCGTCATGCAGCGGTAGTAAGTAACAGTGGCAGCATTAGTAGCGGCCGTTCTGGTAGAAGCGCCAGTGTCGTACTGGTGGCTGTCGAAGCACTGCTGAAATTTCAACAACGAGGTCGACGACTACTACCGCTAGTGCTATGGGCGGAACTGATGTCTTGCCGGCGTTTGTGTTCCCTTTTTACTGCTACTACCAATGTTTCTTATTGCTGTCTAAAACTATTCGTTGCTGCTATCACTACAAGCACAAGAACGACCGCCCTGTAAACCTACATTCAAAGAACAATTAAACTTCAATACAACACGTCACACGGTGCACGCGGGTTCGAAACCCTAAACCCGGAAACTTAAATTCTGGTTGGGAGCCTTATTAGACCCCAAGCAAGGACCCGTATGATTGTCTTGAAGCCGCTCACTTTCTGAAGTGGCTGCGACACATCCACTCGGGTGACACGTGCTACCACGGGATGCGGTTCCATGGCGGCTGCATTAGCGCGAAGGACAAACCCAAGAAGGCATTGTGATCCTGTGACCCATATATTTGGGCTTTCGAACCCTGCGATTTGCCACCAAGCATCTTCGGTTGGCCTAACAAAGAAGCTCATGCCTTTGCCACTAAAGTTGCGACAAAACACCCCCCGCGTCGAAAGCACGCGAAAGCATAGAAGCGAATGCGAGCGACGAACCTGTCGCACGGACGTCACAAGCACTGGTAATCATTTGTGTCAACGCAACCAGCCAGCTTTTGCTCGCAGCTTCCGTACCAAACCTCCATCTGTCCAATGAAGAGTCCACACTTCCGGCCACCATCAAAATGCAGCCCCCGAAAAACGTCGTCATCGTTCGGCTGCCGGTGCTTCCATAAAAAAGCGTCTTTTCCGCCCTGTCGCAAAGCACGGTTGCCATGCGGCCGCGCTGATTGGCAATGCCAAACTCCAGACTCGCTCGAGCTCGGAGCCGGGTTCTTGCAGTTGGCTCCGTGCTTGACTGCCGGTGACTATCTCCCACTCGAACATGTCTCTGATGATGTCCGTCTGAACTTCTACCTCCCTTGTAACCCAGGCTCTGTCCGAACCGCCGCATGGCGATCGTCTTCACGCTCACCGAAGCGCAAACGCTGTGGGTTGTCCGCGTACACACCTTGCCGGAAGAAACGGAAAGGCTCTTAACATGTTCAAGCCCTTGCGACCCAGCAGATTTTTGTCCTGTAGATCACCATGCCTCACCGCTGAGCGTTCAATTTCTGAGGCGGCTGCGACGCATCCACTCGGGTGACATGTGCTACCACGGGGAAACGGTCCCATGGCGGCTGCGGGCGACAAAACAGATTGGCAACCCCAAACCCTTCAAGAAGATGCTGGCTGGCAAACCGCAAACACCAACAGAACGTGCGGGTTGGCAACCCCGAACCCTAAACGGGCTTTTCGTCTGCTACACACCCTCCAACGAACCCTAAACCTTTAAGTTTTATGTTGGCTTGCAAATCTAAGCCCTGAAAGGAAACCTTAGACGGTTTAAGTTAAACCATAAAAAAGCACATGCTGCACAAAAACCCAAAACCTTGAAACAAGATGCTGGCTGGCCCGAAACTCGTTTGTAGTTAGTAGTTAGTAGTTCGGAGCTAGTAGCTCGTAGTCAGTAGTCAGTAGTCAGTAGTCAGTAGTCAGTAGTTAGTAGTTAGTAGTTAGGAGTTAGGAGTTAGGAGTTAGTAGTTAGGAGATAGTAGTTAGTAGTGAGTAGCTAGTAGTCGGTAGCTAGTTGTCAGTAGCTAGTAGCCAGTAGCCGGTAGTGTCGTTAGTAATGCGTACTTAGTACGTAGTAGATCGTAGCCAGTAGCCGGTAGCCGGTAGCCAGTAGCTAGTGGCCAGTAGCCAGTTAGTCGTTAGTAGCTAGAAGTTAGAAGTTAGTAGTTAGTAAGTAGTTCGAGTTAGTCGTAGTCGTCGTAGTAGTAGTAGTAGTAGGAAGCGAGGAAGTAGTAGTGGAGCAGTCATCGACTGGGGTTCGGTGGAAGCGAACCCGACGCGGGGCTGCAGTCATCGACTGGGGTTCGGTGGAAGCCTGACCTCCAAGTACATGTACTGGGGGAGCGAAATGCGGAGAAAGGGGCTTGGCCTTCACCAGAGGTGCCGGTTGCCCGGGGCCTCCTGCAGAGCAGGCTCAGCTTCGTGCATTGTTTCCTTGGTGGTCGGCGGAAGAGGCTCGTCGCGATCATCATCGGCCAGTGCAGGTGTTCCTGGAACGAAAAAGGCCGGGGTTTTAGAGTCCACTTGGTCCACGGGGTTCACTGAGTCCACTGGGTCTGCCGGTGAGGTTGGGGTGGGAGTCCTGGGTGGCGGGACTTCAGCCTCCTCTTCGGAGTTTGACCGAGGCCGAGCCCTCATGGTGAGGCCAAACCCACAACCCTCGACCAAAACCATTTCCCACCGATTTCCACCAATCCTGCGAAACTCAGTTTGACTGTTTGTCTAAACCCGGGCCTGCTGCCTTTTGATTAATGTATAAAAGGGAATCCTGGGTCCTGCTGTAAATCTGATATGCGCAAACAGTTTGTGGCTTTTCTTGTGCTCCAAATTGCAAAGCAGGTGTGCTACTTCTTGCGCTTGGTTTTGGGGCTTGCGGTTTGGCTTCTTTCCAAGATCGCAAAGCAATTGTGCTAGTGTTGTGTGTCTCTGAGCTCTAGTTACTTTTGTGCTTTTCCCTGTGCTTGATTTTAGAGCTTGCGGTTTAGCTTCTGGCTCAGATTGATCAAACAGTTTTGCTTTTCTTGTGATCCTTTTAGCAATCTAAGATGCGATTTGGGCACCAAACGAATGGCCTGGTCGAGATTTTGGGCCAAGTAGTTTCCTGGTTCCGCCACCCTGGCAGGCAGACACCAGCATTTCCTGGAACCCTCCACTGTTTGCCTTCCGGCGAGTTCCGAAACTCTCGCCGATTTGCTGCAGAATTCCTGAATTTGGCAAAGGACCAAAGCTCAACTTCTGTTTGGCTTGTGATGCTCCGTCTCTTCTTCCTCCCCTCACCCTCCTTTGCTATCGTGGCCTGGCTCATCTGGAGCTTGGATGTTCTGGGCTTGGCTGCGACTGGGTTCAAAACCAAAATCCAGATCTTGAAATTCAATACCCGGAAGTCTCAAACTCAAAACCCTGCTAAACAGTTGCAGACCCCAAAAACCTGAACCTCCGTGTAGTTGTGCTACTTCTGGAACGTGAAAATATGCTGTCAGGAATGCGTTTTCTCGCTGTTACTGGGCCCGGGGCCGCTTCCTGCACTGGTTTTGAAAAAAACTGAGTCGACGGCCATTGCAAAGCCCTCAATGAACTCCGAAAACGTCCACAAGACCTGCAGCCAGGTTGAAAAGAAGGAACCGCGGGCAGAGGACTGAAATGTGACATGCCTCTAGGAGGGAATAGTCGCTGGTGAGAAGCAGCGCGGCGACCGTGCAAGGAACCAGGATTATCGTCATATTGCACGTGTCATGCCTCAAGCAGGAACAGGCACAACAAGACAAGCTGTCTACGGTAGTTCCATCACTCGATGCCTGCGTGCGTAGGTGCTATCGAACTGGTAGAAGCAAACTAAGACAATGATGGATGTGACGATATACCTGGCCACAATTCCAGCGTGGCTTGTTCAAAAAATCGTCCGGAACTGCGGATCCACCAGGTCACGTTAGCTTGAAAAACACGAGATAGAAGGATTGCGTGTGATCGAAAAGGTCCAGATACCTGGAAACACAACATGTGCAGAAGGCCCACTACCCCGAATGCCTCATGAACAGGAGCTATGCAGTAGCACCGGGTGCAGAAGACAATGCAGTACAAGATTTGCGTTGTCCTGCCCAGGATGGCATGGTCTCATCATGTCTCATCCAACAATAAACGTGAGCACTCCAACACGTGGAAACTGTGCGGACCTTGAAATCCCTGCCACTGACTTATTCTTCACAATGGTAACCAGAAGTGTCAATATCCTCAGTTGCTCGCATCTCGCTGAATGCCACTTGCTGCTGTGGACCTTCGGCGGCACACATCTCGTGCTGAGGGCAAGTCCCACCCAAATGAAGGTAGTCACCTATATAGCGGAAGATGTTCCTGGCACAGGCACGTACGGCGCGGCAGGCGAGGCTCAGCTGCAGCTGAAGCAAACGGAAAGTGTGGCCAAGAGTAGGCCGCAAAGTTCACAAAATTGGACCTGACAGAGTGTGTTCAGCCGAGTTCTCGAATCACCCTTTAGCCTGCGAGTGTCGGAACGAAGTGTTGTAAGACCCCGCGAGCTCGGGACGCACCATGGAGCTTGTCCATAGAGTCCAAGACCTTCACAGCTCTCAAGTCGAACATTCAGAACTGAACGCGACGTATCGCACATGGCGAAAGCAGCTAACGACCATACCATCAACACCAGCGCAAGGTTGTGATTTGTAGACGGTAGGTTCAGGAATCCAAGTTTCAAGCAACCCACAACCAGCCGAAAAGGAGTAAAGGGCAGACCGAATCCGGCTGTCAAGCTACAGAATCTGCTCCTGCGGACAGAGGCAAGCTCGCCCCCCGCAAAACGCTCATGACTCATTGCAAGAATTTCTCTTACTGTTGCGGCTGACTTGGGGGCCTGTGTCAGCATTGTTTTCTTTGCCGACTTGGCTGTAGCAGACTACATCACCTGTGCGTGAGTAATTCTGGTTGCAAACGACTCTTTCTATTTGCGTGCGTGGAAGGGGTTTCCCACACATGGGGGTATGCACCCCTTTTTGCAGTGGATAAGGAGGAGGTGTGGATGACTGCAGTTTAGCATTTACTCATGCTGGGCTGGGCGACCACAACGCGTACATTCAAATCACGCCAACGAGGGTCTCAACTGTCAGTCAGCCCTCATCCGTCATTGGTGTTTCACCCTACGATTCATGACTTGTATTTCCCTCTGGCATGCTTTGAGGATAGCAAATAGAGCTACCGGCGCATGGTGCTGAGTCACTCAGCGGCTCTGAGGCTGCGGTTGGCAGCATCGTTCTTGCTAGTCACCTCTTGTGGCATCAACGAAGGTGACATTGACCGAACACCCAGATTCGCCGAGTGCTTCTGCACTAAGAACTTGCAAAATGCTGTTTGCCGGCGATCCCAGCAATCCTCCTGAACATCAGGGCGTGAAGCTGTTGCGGGTCATAGCCGGCAAACCAAGAAACTGCCCAGTTATCGAACATCAAGGTGGAATGCTGCAAGCAAGAGATATCACATGCAAGGGAAGTGGCCCTGAGCCAAGCTATCGGCTACAGCCCTGGGCTGGCCTGCTTAGTTGCGACATCATCCCCCATCACTTCTGCGGCGGCCTGCTTCACACATGTTGAACTTACAATCACTATGCCGAAATGCTCATCACGCCATTGACATCTTGGACAGATCCAAATTCCTTGCCTTTGCACCTTGCAGGAAGTGAACATTTCCCAGTTAACTCACCCTTTGAGCCCACACTGCTCCTAAGAGTTGGCTATACGAATACATTCTCGCTGCATCGTTTCAAACGGCTGGGCTTCAGGCTTTGTTTGTTTGATGTGATGCTTGACCGCAAGTACTGACCAAAATCATACACCCGTGCAGCGAAAACTAAAAACAATGAAATTCAGAGAAGGCCACACTCCTATGTATTGCCCTCCATGCTGCTGAAAAGCCCTGTGGGGGGTTTGCTATCCCCACACGGAGGTGTTTCGTGCCGATGCACCTACGATTTAGGTGGCGCTGATGGTTGTCTCAGCTCTCGTTGCGAAACCCTTTGCCGCAAAGATGTTGTCAACACAACTCGTCGGCCAGGGTAGATCCCCATACATGCCATACGGTCACACAGCACCACACAGCATCACGACAACACCACGACCACTAGGAAACCAAGAGAGCACCAGGAGACTGTGCGGGAAGGATCTTGGTAGATTGAGAAACACCGGCAACATGCTTCCCCCAAGCACTATAGTTAATACCGGAACGTTGGACCGCGACCAACATGCTGCTGTGCACTGGCAGATTCAGAGACGTGGGCGACATGTTTCCCAATGCGCGGGCGTGATTCAGGAACACTGCCAAATGGTTCACCCCGTGTTCTCGACATGAAAACCTTTTTCTTATCAAATCTCAATGTGATTTCGGGCGGGATTCAAACATTCCGAAGCCAAATGTAAATCCGCCGAGGCCACAGGCCCAGGCGTCTTGGGGAAAGTTTGGTTTTTGCGTTCGTTTGCCACCCCCTTGCCCGGCTTCCCTTCATTTTACCTGATTTGTAGGCCTCCTCACCCCCCCTCCCCCGCGCATGACCAGCAAAAGAGCAGTGAGGCGGGAAGATGACGTTCCGGCACTCGACACCCAACCGTTTAAAGGTTGGGGTTGAGAGGACCCCCTTGCATGGTGCAAACGACATCCACTGCCCCCTCGCCCTGCCGCTAAAGAGCCGAGGCGGGCTGCGTAGCGTTAAAATTAAACGCGCTTTTGGAAGACGCCGCAGCACCAAAACATACCAAAACTGTGTAAGAAATTGAGGAAGCACAGCCCAGTGTCTTCCCAAAGGTGTGCCGTTCTACTTGGCAAATGCCATATCTAGGTTAAGGTCTCGAAACACGGCCGCAGCCGATACGGCTGTCACATGATCCAGCCTCAGCGCTACCACCAGCAACTTCATGCAAAACATCTGTATCATTGATTTTTTAGAAGCTGGAATATCGTGATCAGCACGGCCGCCTCCTGGTCGGGGGGTTTTTCAGCTGCCTCGAGTACGACTGCTCCGGTGTAGGAACGTCCACATTCCTTCCAGCTTCATCATGAACGAGCCCGCACATGCGTAGATCTTACAGTCTCAGCGGGTACTCACGACTCACGAGGATCAAATCCCGGTTCCGGTCGTCTGTAACTACGGACACCATGGGCAACTTGCATGGCCATCTTGTCACGTCGGCGGCAACCTTTCTGCGCCGCAATGGCGCCATAGCGGGAAGGACCATACCTCATGTGGTTGGAGTCCATGCCCTTGGTACCACAATCGATGAACATGTTCTCGGTGGCGCTCCACTTCAGGCCCACATTGCACAGGGCCAACAAACCATGCCACCGAGAACAGCACAAAGGATTGTCCGATTTCCCCTTTTCCAAGACGTCATTGGCATCCGTCACAGCGATCAACTGGATGGTCTCCAGGAAGCTGTCGATGTTTCTGTAGTGCATGGGCATATCACCCGGCATAATTTTTTCCAGGCCCTACAGCATGGATCGGCAGACATCAGTGACTTCGGTAGTCCAAAAGGGTGAACCTTCCGCGGCCTCCTTGGAGTAGAGACTTGCTACAACCTAGCAGCTTCAACAATAATCGAACACGAAGGCCAACCATGCACCGCAACACAAATGGAGGGCGGAACGTTCCGCGTGTGCCTCGCAGGGACACTAACCAATTCTTTTTACAGAAGATAAGAACCTCATACTCTGTACCGCACTTTTGGTGAACAAGAAAGGCAACAGAAGTTGGATTAACGGCATTCCATGAATCCCGATAAGGGAATAACCGAGCAACAAAAGGTGGAGAAAAAGTAGCATTTGCGGAGTCTAGCCTAGCTGGAGAGCTGCAGCCTTGAGATCTTTCGAGGTACCAGCTGAGGCTGATTGTTCCCACCCTCCCGTCCTGTTTGCTTGCGGCCCCATAAGGCTGGTTCACTTTCCTGTGATGGGGCAGCGTCGGGTAGTGTCGTGTGCGAAGGGTCCCTGCCCCGAGACCTGCCCCGGGGCAGGTCCCTTCCACACCATGTGTGCGATCGTTCCAAAAGTGTCCGCCTAGGGTTGTTTGTGTTGAGCATGGAACCTCTTCTTCAGCCTGTTGTTTGGCTTCTTTTGCGGGACATTTCTTTCCGAACGAGCCCAACGTGTAGCACACAGTCACAACATAGGGTGTCCTCGCCAGAGCGAGAAGCAGATCAAGCAAAGAACCGATTACTATAGCAGGATCTGCGGTGGTTCGATGAATCTCGGAAAAGCAGAAAGAGAGAAAACAACAAGCATGAGGTCAACTGATGGTGATTGCGGCATGTGCTCAGTGATGCTCAGTGCAATCAAAACGAACATGATTGGTGTGCACGGGTCGAAAGTGTTCGGTGCATGCGCCAAAGGGTGTTCGGGCAGCTTAGCGCAAGCAAGCCATGTTAACTTGGTCTTTGGGATTGGTGTTGTGCAATGGAACAAGCATAGAACAGGCAGTGAAGGCATGTTGTGGCTCTACTTTGTGACGCGAACCGATAAACGATTAACACTTGACACCGGACACTGTCGCTGTGGTTCAAGAGCCGGAACGTTGCAGTTTGGTGCTTGAGGGGGCACTTGGGTAGAAAAAAACTTTGTGGCAACCCAATCCTTTTTCCGACCATCAGTTGAATAGGCTGTGGCAAAATTGTCACTGTTGCTAGGTAGGTGTAACGGGTCGGGTTGTCAGGAACCCTTTCGACGCATCACAGCACTGCCGGCTGTGGTTAGCCCACAGTCAAGCCCGAACAACGACGGGCTTGGGCGCATGCGTGGAGCTTACAACTCACGAAAACTAACCTCATTTCGTCCGACTTAGGTCAATGTTCCAAGCATTTCCCCAGACCATGTGACCAACATGTACTTGCAAAGATGATCACTGCAATGACACATGGCAGCCTTCCAGATCATGGCTGAGACGCAAGACGTGCACGTACATCACACATCTTTTCTCGTGCGGCACTGCGATGGGCCCATGTCTTCCTTTGGAATGCGGAGGCCACCTGAAGATGTAAGTCGTCCACAAAGGGCAGCAGCTTTGACTGCCACGTGCTCTAGCTGGAATCGCCAATGCCAACGGCATTAGCAGCTCGAGGACTGCTTTGCAGGTCCTTTGATTCGTCAAACTTTCTCAACGGCAGGTAAAGTGGATCGCCTGGTCCTCAACAAATGCGGCCCATGTTTTCAAGGGACTTCGGCTCAGACCCCCACCTGATGGAGGCGATGTCCACGAGGCTGGTGCCGCGGCACCTGCCATGGCTCGTGGCTCATGCGGCTCCCGTGTCTTCCAAGACTTCGATTCCGAATCCGGGAGCAACCGGCCTGCGTCCATTTCAAACCTTAACGGAACACACAGGAGTTCACCACAGGCGCAGATCCGTCCTGCTCAGGTTCCTGCGGATCCGGCTTCTCAGAATTCAGGATGACACGAACACCTTGATAACATGGTGACAGTCCCCCACGATTCATGCCTGCAAACCTAGCAATACAATGCTGAGCTCCAATGCCACCCATTCTGTCCAGCGGATGCTTAAAATCATGCTTGGGGCAGTTGATGAACATACAGTTGACCTTGACCTCACACGGCTGTCCAACATCCAAGACAGCCCTCCTCGATCAAATGCTGGGTGGCGGTCGTTGATTCGCTTCGATACGTAGTTTACCATCGCCGGGCTGAACTCGCCTTTCACCTCGCTGCATCTCTGTCAAGGCACTCAGAGAAGAGCTTGGGCAGCCCTGCGAGAATACAATCGACACGAAGGCGAGGATAGACACAGTCCAGGATCTGGACGTACCTGAGGCTGCACTCGTAGGCTTGCATCTATCGAACGCAAACACATCATAAACTCATGAACACACGCCCATAAATCTGTTTGCCAAAGCGAGTTCGGAAATCGATCGGACCAGTGTGACCCGTGGATTTACACACAAGTTGGTTGCATCCAAACATCGTCAACGACATCGAAATTTAAATTGTGCATGGTTGCCAACATGTCATGTGGATGGAACCCGTTCCGGCGGCAGAAGCTGGGAACAAGCCTTCTCGTGCCTCCAGAGTTGGAGACTCGGAGAGAGCGACAGGGATCATTTCCTATCAAAATTGGCCAGTGCGCTGTCGGCGATGCATGCTTTCCGCGTTTTGCACCGAGGAACGACTTTGTGTTTAGAAAGCCTTCGCATTGCCTGAGAACGACCCTGTCACATTGCAGATGACTTGGCTGAGCGGATCCGACAACAGATCACATTACCTTGCGACCGCCGTTGATCTTTAAGCACTGTTGGTGAAAGTTCGGCCTGAGAAAGGCAAAGATTCATGGCTGAAAAGCCTTGCTCAAAACGTACCAGCAACGTGCAGGCTGATGACTCATGACTCATGACCACTGTAGCCGCAAAATCGCGAAACACTGGCGGGCACCACCAAAGCTTGATGGGAATCGCAAACAGTCGAATTGAAACAGTACGTCCGCTCACCCAGCACTAGACCATCTGCCGTACCAATGGTGCGATCCAACATCTACAACCGGCAACTGTGTTTTCTGGATGGCTAGGCTCCGCGGACGCTCCACACACTGGTCGCTACTTTCTCGAAGTTCTCTGTTCTGTTGGTTCCTGTCTGCGGTTCAAACCCGCGAGGTTGCCCTCGATCGTCCAAAGTGGAGAATAAGGATGCAAGGCCGCATTGGGTAGTTTTTCAACCCAAACCTCATCATAGTTAAGGTGTGGAGAACAGGTCTGACCGTCTAACTAGCCTTCTTTGTGAGAACTGTCTGCACATCCTTCTCACAACACATCGAGTCTGCACTGCCTCCGGGTGCCACGCCGAATCTCGGTTGCTTTTACCGCTGAATGAATGGTTGCATTTGTGTGGCAAGAGGTTCGTGAAGTTGCGTGCATTTCCGGTATCCTTTCAGCTTGCTTGGACCTGCCGCTGATCGGTTCAGGCTCTCTTAGGAGCTCTGGTTGCCAGCAAGCCCAGCATCATGACAACCGGCCCAGCTGAGTTGCGCAGCAATTTCCACATTGCGCAGCTGTACAAGGAGTCATCTCAGCGGACGGCTGACAGTTTTCCATGTTGCCCCGCAATTCGCTGCTTGTGCACTTGACAATGTAATTTTCGCTGCTGTCATGTCTGCACCTCTCCGAGGTACCTTGGGGGTGACGCAGAGTTCAAGAGAGTTCTCAATTTCTGGTCGTAAAAGTACCCCCCTCAACCACCCACCACCTCCCCATTCCCCAGACAAATGCTACCCCCACAACAATAGTCATACTATCGCTACCACTACCACCACCACCACTACTACTACTCCTCCTCCTACTACTACTAACTACTCTACTTCTACTACTACTACTACTACTACTACTACTAGTACTACTACTACTAGTACTAGTACTAGTACTACTACTACTACTACTACTACTACTACTACTACTACTACTACTACTACTACTACTACTACTACTGCTACTGCTACTACTACTACTACTACTACTACTACCACTACCACTACCACTACCACTACTACTACTACTACTACTGCTACTACGACTACTACTACTACTACTACTACTACTACTACTATTCAATTGAACGCTGTGCGAGCGGGCTCAGCACATTGTGGGCGATTGCCGCGGTGCACTCACTTGGTGTGAAACTGACTCAGTGACCTTTGAAATTAGACAAAAAGAGACATATTGTAGAGGTGTCTCCGCGACCTACATGGCTACTAGCTGATTGGCAGGGATCAGCTTGAAGCAAGATTGCAGGCAGCTTGATGCCGGGCTTCACTCGGTCGGTTGTACCTGAAGCTGAAGCAAGACAGTGACTGATGCTCGTGAAGGGCGTGCGCCCGGCAATGCGACTAGCTGCAGCATGACCGTGGGCAATGACTTGTTTTCTGGCTGACAGCGGCGGCTTCATGCAGAATTACCATCAGTCTGCCTGGGAAGAGGTTTGCGACAAGTCGAAAAAAAGCAGGCATTGCCTCCGCAGCTAGCTCCGTGCATTGCCATTGGCACCCGCGATTGCTTAGGCATGCTCACTGGTGCCAGGAGTGGCTGCCACTAACGCCAGAGCCGGAACCACGCTTCCACCAGCCGCCTCGGGACCAGGCGTCACCGTCGCGATAACGCTTGTCGGTGTGAGCGTGTGGCTCCTCCCCCGAGCTTTTGTCGCGCTGCTCTCGCTGGCGATGCCATTGGAATATGGCAGTATCGCCCTTGTTGTGCTCAATCCGGAGCTTGCGGACAATCTGTCCATCTCGAGGCTGATAGAAGATGGCACGATTTTGACCTCCACTTTTCCTGGAGGTTTGGTCGTAGATGCACTTGAAGGTGGAGGCCACTACCTCGAAGTTCTCATCCGTCTCAAGCACGGCATTCATGTCCTCGTGGTCCCACATTTTCTGGAACAAGGCGGGCACGATGCCATAGTACGCCGTGGTGGACTTGAGCTCAGTGTATCGGTCGTCTTGCCCTATTGAGAGGGTGAACTGGCCATTTGCCCCGACCATGAGCCTCGCATGAGTGATGTCCGTCCATGTGGCATCCTTGTCGGTGGCGACTTTCAAGATCGGGGCGAAGATGCACGGTACCTTCCCCAGCGCTCGGAATCGGTTGGTCCAGAGGATAACCTGTTCAGAACCGGTGAGGCCGCGGGTGATGGCTTGTTCCTTCATGATGGAAATGGTCGCAAATGCATGGACCCATTCCAGCACCTGGTCAGACTGACAGATCTGCGACTACTACTACTATTACTACTACTACTACTACTACTACTACTACTATTTCAATTGAACGCTGTGCGAGCGGGCTCAGCACATAGCGGGCGATTGCCGCGGTGCACTCACATGGTGTGAAACTGACTCAGACCCTATAGCTGAACAGCCCTGGTCGAAGACCTTTGGGTGTTGGCGGCCTACCGGCGTCAGGCTAACTGGCAGTGGTCAGCCGAAGCAAGTTGGTAGGCGGCCAGGCTACAAGCTTCAGATTGTTGTATGTACCTGCGCGAGGATAGTGATTATGCAGCACTGATTGCAGAGGCACAGTTCTGCGACTGGCAGAAGGCAAGGCGTGTTTTTCTCTGACAGCGGCGGCGATCAGCAGAAAGGCCGTCAGTACATGCCGGAAGAAACGAAGTATGAGTGCAGGCATGGCCTCCGTTTTTTTTTCGCTGTATAGGTTGCCATTGGCACCGGTGATCAAAGTTGGGGCTCACTGGTGCCAGGAGCGGCTGTCACTGGCCCCTGAGTCCGAGCCACGATTCCACCACCCTCCTCGGGTCCAGGCATCGCCGTCTCTGTAGCGCTTATCTGTGTGAGACTGTGTCTCTTCACCAGAGCGCTTGTCTCGCTGTTCCCGCTGCTCCCGTAGCTCGCGTTGGCGATGCCATTGGTATGTGGGCGTGTCGCCCTTGTTGTGTTCGATGCGGAGCTTGCGGACAACGTGTCCTTCCCGAGGCTGGTAGAAGATGGCGCGATTTTGACCCCCACTTTTCCTGGAGGACTGGTCATAGATGCACTTGAATGTGGAGGCCACGATCTCGAAGTTGTCATCCGTTTCGAGCAATGCGCTCATGTCCGGATGATCCCACATTTTCTGAAAAAGGGCATGCACTATGCCATAGTAGGTCGTGGTGGACTTGAGCTCGGTGTAGCGATCATCTTGGCCAATGGATAGTGTGAATTGGCCATTGGCCCCGACCATAAGCCGCGCTTGCGTGATGTCAAGCCAGTTGGCATCCTTGTCGGTGGCGACCTTCTTGATCGGGGCGAAGATCCACGGCACCTTGCCCAGTGCTCGAAACCTATTGGTCCAAAGGTAGACCTGCTCAGAGGCTGTGAGGCCACCCACGATAGCCTGCTCCTTCATAATGGAAATGGTCGCAAAGGCATGGACCCACTCCAGCATCTGGTCAGACTGGCAGATGTGAATAATCTGATCTCTCTTTGGCAGTTGATTTGCCTCTTGCTCTGGAGAGGGGTTGACACTGTACTCCACCAGCTTGGTCGTGGTGACCGGTCCCTGGTATTTGACCTCTGCACGCGTAGAGGGGGCATCCACAGGGGATGAGGCTGTGATGTCAGCCGGGCCTGGGGTCTGTGGGACGGTCTCCTCGGTGAGGGCAGCTGTCGGAGTCACATTCTGGGTTGAGAATGCGTTGAAAGGCCGATCGCTGGTCTGGCCAGGGCCAGCAGACTTGTGTGACTGCGGTGTGCCCGCCGGCAGCATCGGAGTGTCTGGCGTGCCCACAGTGTCTTCCGCCCATCCCAACGTGGGATCAGCAGTGACATGTGTCTCATCCTTGATGTCCGCCGGTTGGTCATTGACCCCCTGTTCTTCTTTCGCTGCAAGAGGCCGGTGGCCCTGCGCTTGTGGGGTAGGACCTGGCGGAATGGGAGGGAGACCGAGCCCAAAGCGTGCCTTAGACACCGACGCTGTGGGTCTCCACTGGGGCGGACGGTCCGCCGTGGGTTCTGGTGGTGGCGGAGCCTGGCCTGACGCTGCAATGGCTGCAGCTGAGGGAGGGTTTGCAGGCTCGGCCGGGCGCTGCGACCACATACTGTTGCGAGGCGGGGGGCCTGGTGGCTCGGGCACTGATCGGTCGTGCCGGGATTGCATGAAGTGGTGTGTGACTCCCAACTCATTTGGGAACTTCAAGCGTCGGCCG